AGTCTTTGAGCTCCTGGCTTTGTGATTTACTTTTTCACGGGGCTTTTATGAACAAACTCTTTTTGGTTTATGAGTTGTTTTTATTCTAGTTTCTCTTTTTCTCCAAATTTGATTGTAAAGAGAACTGAAGGGAGCCAAACAAGGTTGGCAGCATGAATGCCTGCAGCCTCTGGACAATGTTTAAGAAGTGTGGATGGCTTTGTGGTTAAGGCACAGTTCTGAGTCTCAGGAGACTGGGGTGTTCCTGGCTCTGCTACAGACTGTGTAAGACCTTTGACCAGTCATGGGGGCAACCAGTGTGCTGATCTCTCTTGAAAATCTGGCCCTTCATTTCTCTGTGCTGTCTTTCTTGTCTAATTACATTGTGACTTCTTTGGGACAGGCACTGTTTCTTACTATATATATGTACAGTGCCTAGCACTATCTAAGGTAATTATATGCCCCCCGTTACCATAATAATGAGGGCCTCGCTCTTTAGTGTAGAGCTTCTCACAACACTGTCAGAATAGGGAGGTACTATCCCCATTTTACAGATAGGGAACTCAGGTTCAGATAAACTAAGTGACATGCCCAAGGTCTCACAGAAAATCTAGGGCAGAGCAGAGAATTGAACCAAGTCTCAGATTCCAGGCTGTCTCTACCCATTGGACCATCTTTGCAGTAGGACCTATATCTCAGTTGTAACTTCTAGGTTCTATCGTAATGTGAATAATTAATAACACCACTGTGTTTTGCGTGTTAACTGGATTCCACTGAAACCCGCTTTCAATTTTAGCTAAGTTTTTTGTGCATGAATTTCCCTGTCTAATTTTAAATGAGCACCAACGTTTGAACTCCTTTGTGCGTTTAGAAAGTGTGTGCAGGAGGGGAGCCCTGCTCTCATAGGAGCTTTTGAGACCCACCAGATCAAGGCTCTCTTGCTGCAGAGACTAGCAAGGGCATAGGAGGGATGTGTGACCATGAGATATGGACTGCGGGAAGGAATGGAGGGGGCAGTGGGAAGGCTTCTATCCAAATAGTGAACTTTAAGCACTCGGCCTTTTGCTGGGCCCCTCTGTCTGCCCAGGTCCCCTGTGCGTACACACATTCTATGCCTCCATGGTCCTGCATCCACCTTCTGTGCCTTTTCTCCCCTGCCCTATTCCATGCTAACTCCCTTTTGTCCTCCAGAGGTCCCCACATGCCCTGAATCACCCTTCATGTCTCACCAGTGCCGTTCCTTCTCCTCCTGCCTTCCCAGAGCCCAGAGGGCACCACTCCATGTGTGCACTATCACCCCACTCTGCAGCTCCCTCCACTGGTTCATGTCCCTCCCTCAATATTGCCAACCCTACATGTTCAAAAATCATAAGATTGGTTTAAATATCATGAAATTTTATTAATTTTATAAAAATAAATATATGGTTTGTTTTCTTTGCCTTTTGTTTTCTGAGCCATTAGGGTGCACTCAAGTCACATTTTCAAGCTTTTCTCTGCAACCATGAGGGCTAGAAATTTAATTTAATTTTTAAATTAAAGTTGATATGTTCACATAATCACATGACTCCGGGAGCTGGGGCTTTAAGAAAAAAGAACCAGCTATTGTGAGACTTGCGATAAAATCGCAAGTTTTGGTCATGCTGCCTTCTGTATCATGTCCTTTCCCAGATTTTGTGCCTCTCCACATTTCCCTTTAGTCTCCTTCTCTGAAGTCCAGGCCCTGGCCTGTCACCTACCCCCCTCCCCACCCCATCTGGCTCAGTCTACCAGCTGAATTCAGTTTATGTTCATAAACTTTTCTCTGTATGTACTTAACAACCCCAGCCCCAGCCCTCCCAAAACCACAAAAAGGCCCCTTGCCTCAGCAAGGCCAATGAGTATCTTGGCCAACCATTTTAGGGATATAATTTAATAATATCTAGCTCTTATATAGTGACTTACAAAGTATCATTATCCCCATTTTACAGATGGGGAAACTGAGACATGGGAGAGGAAGTGACTTGCCTAAGGTCATCCAGCAGGCCAGTGGCCAAGGCAGAAATAGAACCCAGGTCTCTTTAGTCAGTTCCATTGCTCTGTCTGCTGGGCCACACTGCCAGAATAAACAACCTCTACTTTTCCAAGCATAAACTAAAAGCGCATTTTCAGAACACCGTCACTTTAAAAGTCTTGCTTTGATATTTACTAAACGTCCCATGATGGGATGCAGTGTGCAGAATTTCAGGAGATTCAACTTCTTGGTAAGGCTCTTAGAGAGGGGGTGAGAGAGAGAGGGGGTGAGGGTCCAGACATTTTATTATCTGATGCAGCTCCTGCGAATGTCAATGGAATGACTTCTGTTGACATTAGTGGGAACAGAATTTAGCCCACAAAGAGGAGCTAGCTTTAGTCTTAACTATAGACCAACTTGCAACTCCTTTCCCTCCCCGGGCCCGCAAGCACGAAATGTTGGTGGTGGTGGTTCATTTCACTTCCATTCACTGGAAATGCAGCCCAAATAAAGAGACCAAGCTAATGATTCCCTAGAGCAGTAGTTTTCAAGTTCTGGTCCGCAGATCCCTGGGTATCTGCAGACTATGTCTAAGATTTCCAAAGGGGTCCACACCGCCATTTGAAATTTTGTATGGGTCCGCAGATGAAAAAAGGTTGAAAAACACCGCCCTAGAGCAAACCCTTCCAGCCGCTGTTGGCAGGTGATTGGTGTGAGGCATGATTAATAGGCAGTGGCTTTGAAAGGGAGCACATCTAGCAGCAGGATGCAGGAAGCTTGAGGGTTTTCACAGCTATACTTTTGACATTTCTGGCCTGACAAGTTAGAGCTTTTCTACTGTGGCCGTTAACTGTGGTCCCGCTGCCTGGCCCACCTAGAAAACCCCAAGCAGGAAACAAAATGGAGAGCCCCCTATCTGCTCTCTCCCCCCCTCCCCCGCCCCCCGCAACCCCCATCCCAGAAGATATTGCATGCTGTGTGAACCTGCTGCTGCTCTCAGTGAAGTCAATGGCAAAACTCACACTGGCTTTCACAGTAAAGGATCAGGTCCTCTGTGAGCTAGCGTTTCATGATGAGTTAACATAGGGAGAGCGCTTTTGTGACCATGTCTTGCACAGGGGTTAGTGATTGCTAAATGTTGTTGAGAGAGAGGAGAAGGTAACTCCATACACATAGCCATAGCTGACTGTGAATGCCCCTGAAAATGCCACCAGATGGTATTGTTGGCATCCCTGCTTGCTCCAGCTCATTACAAATGCACAGCATATGCCCTTCAGGGCTACTTCACTGTCTGTTTGACTTTGCCTGGCTCCCCATCTCTCTCCATATAGGTCACTAGCACCAGCAACCAATTTGGCAGCTCTCAATGGTCAGCTGCAAGCACCTCATTTGTAAAACCTGTTGCATGTTTCAAAGGATGAGAGCATTTTGTATAGTTAATTCTGCAGTGAATTTGCAAAGGAGTCGCACATTTCCTGCCCATGAAAAGTGTGTGTGTGTGTGTGTGTTCTCTCTCTCTCTCTCTCTCTCTCTCAAACAGTTAAACAGTTTTACTAAAGTTTTAGCTAATAACCTACAAGTGTTAAGTGCTACAGCATATATAGTGGCTTGCTTAGAATCTCATTCTCAATAAATTAAATATCCGTAGAGAGAGAGAAATAGAGATGTGAACCAAAACCCATCTCTGAGTTTGCTCACCCCCCTCTCTCTGATGGGCTGAAATTGATGCTAAATTTAATCACCTTGCACTCTGGGAAATTTTGGATTTGGATTTGAACCCTCCTACTTCAGAAGTGTCCAGGTCAGGGGTTTGTTTTGTTCATATTGCCCTCTCAGTACATAGGAGAGGGAGATGGGCCCTGAATCAAAACCATGATGCCACTAAACTTTGGATGTGGATTCCAACATAGTGACTTATGCTCATCATGCCTCTAATACACGTAGAACAGGGGTGAGCAATAATTTTTGCAGGGGGGGCCACTCCATGAATTTTGGTACGTTGTCATGGGCTGCACATTTCTACTATATTAATGGAGGAGGTGCGGGGTCTGGGAGGGAGTTTGGATGCAGGAGGGAGCTCTGGGCTGGTGCAGAGTGTTGGGGATGCAGGAGTGGATGAGGGGTGTGGGCTCTGGGAAGGAGTTTGGTACAGGAAGGTGTTCTAACCTGGGACAGGGGGTTGGGGTGCAGGAGGGGGTGCGAGGTGCAGGCTCTGGCCAGGAGGCGCTTACCACAGGCGGTTCCTGGCTGGTGGCACAGCAGGGCTCGGGCAGGGTGCTTGCATGCTATGGCCCCACGCTGCTCCCAGAAGTGGCCGCTGCTGGCATGTCTCTGTGCGCCCCTTTGGGGGAGGGGACAGCAGGTCTCCGTGCACTGCCTGCGCCCACAAGCACTGCCACCCAGCTCCCGGAGCTGTGAGGACGGTGCTGGGAGTGGGGGCAGAGCACGGAGCCACCTCCCCCCCCTGCCAGGGGTGTGCAGAGACCTGTCAGCAGCACCCGGCCGCTTCTGGGAGCGGCGTGGGGCCACAGCAGGCAGGCAACCTGCCTGAGCGCCCCACTATGCCGCGGGACTTTTAGCAGCTAGCAGATTGCGAGGGGGCAGCCAAAAAGCCTGGCGGGCCGGACAGAAATGTTAGACAGGCCAGATCTGGCCCGTGGGCCGTATTTTGACCGCCCCTGATGTAGAAGGAAAGGGAGATATTCCACTGTGTGAAATACCCCTAAAATAGTTCCATTCCTAGGGTCAGATCCTGCAGTAAAGGATTTTTCAAGGAAGGTTAGGGTGCACAGAATCAGTATTTAGAATATAAAATAGGATATCAGTCTGGGGCATTCTGTAAGAGATGAGTAATGCTGAAGTATACCATATGTGTTTCTATCATGTATGACTTGACAATGCATCATTATTAAACAATTTGATCATCTTTAGGCCAGAAATTGTAGAGTGAGCTGGCTTGTAAAATGATATAACTGGATGTTTTAAGATAACTGCTGATTCTTTTTTAACTGATTCTACTTTTTTGTTTCAGATGAGACTCCAATTATAGCTGTAATGGTGGCCCTATCTTCCCTGCTAGTCATAGTATTTATAATTATTGTGCTGTACATGTTAAGGTAAGAAACACTTATAACACTCACTTCCCTATGGGATATTAGTGACATGTTTTCATTCTCCTTAAGTTAATTAACATACACTATTAAGCAGATGGCTTGCAGCTATGCTAGCTTGGGCCTTTTGTTCTGTTTCCTAAGCTAAGCAGGGCCGGCTTAGCCAGTATTTACAAGGGAGACATCCAAGGACTTTGCAGGTAGTGTGCTAGTAATTGGGTAGGAGATGCTTTTCCCTCTGGATCAGTGTAAAGCAAATCCTCATCATAAAGGTGGTGCTGTGCCACTAAAGATGGATTCTTTGAGATTATAGGTCCCGACTCCTTGTGCCATTAAAAGTCTGTTGATACTTTTTGCAAAGGTAAGGGTGCTACCGATTAAATATTATTTTGGGTAACTATACTCACTGACTAAAATCCCTCTGCATTTAGAGCTGGAGATTATTATTTTTTTCCACTTCAACCTTGATTCAAAGCCCATTGAAGCCAGTGGGAGTCTTTCTATTAACTTCAATGTGTTCTGCATCAGGCCTTGAAACAGTGGCCCCATTCTGCACTAGAGGTGGATGCATGTAATAGGTGTGTGAAGTGGGCTCTCTGATCTGGAAAAAGCTTTGGAACCCTTCAAACTGAAAGATGTTGTAGACATGATATATTTTGATATTAGTAAGGCTTTTGTCACAGTGCCACATGACAGTTTTGTAAGCAAATTAGGAAAATGTCTAGGTAAAATTACTATAAAATGGGTGTACAACTGGTTGAAAGACTGTACTTAGAGTAATTATCAATGGTCTGCTGTCTGACTGGGAGGGTGTATCTATTGGGGTCCTGCAAGGGTCTGTCCTAGGTCCAGTACTATTTAACATTTTCATTAATGACTTGGATAATGGAGTGAAGAGCATGCTTATAAATGTGTAAATGACACCACGCTCTGAGGTGTTGCAAGCACTTTGGAGGGCAGGATTAAAGTTCAAAATTACCATGACAAATTGGAGGATTGGTCTGGAATCGACAGCATGAAATTCAGTAAGGACAAGTGCAATATACAACACGTAGGATACAAAAATCAAATGTTCAACTACAAAAATCAAATGTTCAACTACAAAATGGGGATTAACTGGCTAGGTGGTAGTACTGCTGAAAAAGATTGGGGGTTATAGTGGATCACGAATTGAATATGAGTCAAGAATATGATGCAATTGCAAAAAAGCAAATATCATTCTGGGGTGTTTTAACAGGAGTGTTGTCCCACTTGCTCGGCACTAGTGAGGCCTCAGGTGAAGTACTGTGTCCAGTTCTGGGTGCCACACTTCAAGAAAAATGTGGATAAATTGGAGAGAGTTAAGAGGGTTAAAATGATAAGATTGAGAAAACCTGACCTATAAGGAAAGGTTTAAAAATGGAGCATGTGTAGTTTTGAGAAAAGACTGAGGGGGAACCTGACAAAAGTCTTCAAATGGGTTGAGGACTGTTCTAAAGAGGACTGTGATCAGTTGTTGCCCATGTCCAGTGAAGGTAGGACAAGAAGTAATGGGCTTCATCTACAGCAAGGAAGATTTAGATTAGTTACTAGGAAAAACTTTCTAACAATGAGGATAGTTAAGCACTGGAATAGGTTTCCAAGGGAGGTTGTGGAGTCCCTGTCTCTGGAGATTTTTAAGAAAAGGTTAGACAAACTCCTGTCAGGGATGGTCCAGGTTATTTTGGTCCTGCCTCAGTGCATGGGGCTGGACTAGATGACCTTTCAAGGTCCCTTCCTGCCCCACATTTTTGTGATGTGTTCTATAAATGTAGCTTATTAGTGAGAGCAGATGACAGTCACTGGAACTATACTGTAATGAAACTTTCTTAAGTACATTTTTAAAGACGCAAAGCATTAGATTGGACCTTTCTGAATTGTAGCCTCATTAACTGCTCTCCCCTTGAATGCAAATGGTCAACTAGGAGTGAGTGTTTATTCACCTCCAGTAAACATTTTATTTAATTGCCGGAATGTTTAGTCAATTTAAAAAAAAAAAAGCTATTTCCTTTGGTGATGGGAAAATTCCCTTCATTTCTTGGCTTGGGCCCAATGTGGCCCCGAAGGAAGTAAATGGGAGTTTTGCCTTTGATTTCAGCATAAGCATGATTTGGGCCCTGACCACCTGGAACTTCAGACAACTGTTAGCTCTTATAAAGCTATGTCAGTAGCCTCTCTCTTTCCTGCCACTTACAGGCCTTTATTCAGCAAAGTAATTAACCCTAAGCCAATGGGTCTTAAACATGTGCTTGAAGTAAAAAGTGCCTGGTTAAATATTTTGTTGAATAGGAATGAATTTAAGCATGTATTTAAGTGCTTTGCTGAACCAGGCCCCAGAACATATGCTTCTGGGGTACCCCATTCTTAATGCTTGTCATTCTCACTCACCTCTGCATTAGGTTTCTAGAATCCTTTGAATCTCAGCTGGTTGAAGGTTAGATGTGTTTCTGTGTTAGGGTTTTCTATAGCTCCTATCACCGTAGTATCAAAGAGCATGTGATGCTAATGAGCGTGTGGTGGTGAATTCATGAAGGTTTCAGAAAGGGAAATACTGCAGCATCTCAGCTGTTCTCTGCACTGGGGCTTCTGGCCTCCAAAGGGGTCAACAGGCATTGTCAACTGACTTCTGCAGAAGCAAATTTGCTCTGCCATTTCCCACCAGATGCCACAAGTGTCTCCTAAATTATGGTACAGATCCCCAAGACCGCTGTTCTGAAGCTTAGTGGTAACGGATGTATGCCTGAAGAGGCCACATTGTGACTATGGAGGTCACTATGTGAATGGGAACAGGCCCTGCTTCCCTTTTTGGCTGTGCTGTTAATGACTAGATATGTAAACTAGTGGTCTGAGCACTGAATTGGGAGCCAGGAACTCCCTAGTGTTAATTTTAGTTCTGCCGCTGACACTCCATAATAATATATGGAGATATACCTATCTCATAGAAGTGGAAGGGACCCCGAAAGGTCATCAAGTCCAGCCCCTGCCTTCACTAGCAGGACCAAGTACTGATTTTGCCCTAGATCCCTAAGTGGCCCCCTCAAGGATTGAATTCACAACCCTGGGTTTAGCAGGCCAATGCTCAAACCACTGAGCTATCCTCCCTCCTCCTCCCCCCCCCCGACCTTGGCCTCTCTTTCCCTGTGTGTAAAATAAGGAAAATCCTACTTCCTACAGTGCATGGGGACTGTGAATCTTGCACCCAAATTCTGTCCTAAGTTACAACCTGTATGACCCCAATAAATTCCTTCAAAGATGTAAAGTACTCAGTACTGGATGAGAGGTAGTATTGTTATTTATAAGAAACATCAAAATAACTGACTCCAGGACTAAAAGCTGTTGAGCGGCAAGGGGGAGAAGAAACACATAGTGAAACTTGGGTATATTTCTCACCCAAATAAATCAATCTTAACTGATCTCCTTGGATGGGCAGCTGCTGATTTTTCTGAACTCTCTCCTTCATTAGGTTTAAGAAATACAAGCAAGCTGGGAGCCATTCCAACTCATTTCGCTTGTCCAATGGCCGAACAGATGACACAGGTGAATCTTTGCTTTCCATTCTCTGGGATTCCCCCCCCCACCTCTCCCAGAGAGAATGTGGATTTTGTCTTCCTCTAGTGACTAGCTCATATAACGGGTTAGTGAGATTGCTTCAGCAGCAGCTAAATTGGGAACATTTTCCATAAGCTCAAGCAGTAGGGACTCAGGCTGTTACAACTGAAAGTCCTGAGTTCAAATCTTGCTGGGTTGGTTATAAAAGACTCAAGGAGCTCATCTGTTAGCTTAAAAGAAGGTTGAGAAATGACTTGATCAATCTACAGGTACCTACATGGGGAGCAGAAACTTGATAATAGAATGCTTACCAATCTAGCAAACAAAGGTATAACAAGAAACACTGAAAGTTGAAGCTAGACAAATTCAGACTAGAAATAGGCTGCAAACGTTTAACAGTGCGAGTAATTAACTATTGGAACAATCTATCAAGGGTTGTGGTGCATTCTCTATCACTAGCTATTTTTAAATCAAGGTGAAATATTTTTCTAAAAGATCTTGCTCTAGTTCAAACAGGAATTATTTCAGGGAAGTTCTCTGGCCTGTGTTATACAGTAGGTCAGACTAGATGATCACAATGGTCTCTCCTGGGTTTATAATCTATATATAATGGTACTAAGTGTAGCACCTCTTGTAGTTTTCATTAAACTGATACAGATCTCCCCCTGTTTTGAAGTAAATTACGTTGTCCCCTTTTCTACTGGGATGAAAAAGTTTGTTTCCATGTTTTGTAGAGATTAATTTGTTTATAAAATATAGATATACTTTCACTATTCATCATTGTGCTTGATTGCAGCCAAACAGAGCTTAGCTGGGTTAGCTGTTGCATGGGAATCCTCCAAAGAAAAGCTAAATATTTCTTCCTTTGAGCCATCCCTGCACCAAATACCCCTGGAAGGCTGTTTGGCTCAAAGTGTCGCGTTGTATGCTAGCGCCTGTGGGTTAGGGGACTACACCTCCATATGAAGAATTAATGGCAGCAGTCAGTTCATTTTATGGTAGTTAGGTGCAGTCTTCAGGCTCTTGGGAAGTTGTCTATGCAGCCCTCAGTTGGGCAAAAGTTTGGGCACTGAAAAACGTGCGTGCGCACAAATTTTCAGATTTCTTTTGTTTTACATTTTGATCAGCTCTGAGATGGTTTCATTCTGCTTGTTTGCAAAATTGAAATTGTTCATTTTCCAAAATTTTGCATGGAATCTTTTACCCAAAACAACGTTTTCTCAAGTTTTGAAATAAACTGAACATTTTCAAAAATAATTAAAAAACCACAACTTTGTCTAAACCAACTGATCAAAAATAGCAGTAACTCTCCCCCAAATGAAAACAAAACCCCAAAATGATAAAATTAAAAACCAGAAAATGCCAAGAAAATCAAAATATTGTCACGAGTTTCTTTTAAAAGGCTATTTTGCACTAAACTTTTCTTATTTGAAATCATTTCAAGCAGCTCTACACACACAGGCTTTGATCCTGCAAAGACCGATGCTCGTGCTTAACTTTACACGCTGTGAGTAGTCTTATTGACTTCAATAGGACTACTCAGTGCATAAAGGTAAGCCTACGGTCTCCTAGGGGCTACTGCAGTACAAATATTAATTATTATTATTAATGTGTACGTCTTTTCAGAATTAGGACAAAAGTGGTACCTGGCATCACCTTGTATAGGAGTTGAGAGTGAGAATATAAGCTATCCTGAGTTAGAAAGGGCACCCTCATTTCTCATACATCAGTTTGAGGGGTAATTTTGTGGCAAGCTGCAAAGATGCGGGGGAATTGATCTTATCCCCCTTTTCACTTATTTATGATGTATGGAAGGCCTGAAAGAGTGGTAGTGGTAAGGTTACAGTAGAGTCTGGAGGCCCCGCCCAATATCTGGACCCCATTGGACCAGACACTGTACAAACCCGAGACTCTGAGGTGCCTGGAGAAATAGTGACATTAAGGCACCACAAATATCAATCAACAGATAACTGAGCAGGGAAGGGATTTGCAGGCAGTACAGTGATTTTTTTTTTTCCTCATGAAATATTTTCCTGAAAAGCAATTTTTTTCTATTTTCATTTAAAACTTTCTTTTAATTTTTTAGGTTTTCATTAAACAAAAAAATTGGTTGGTGTGTTTTTTTTGTTTTGTTTTGTTTTTGACAAAATCGAACTTGTTTTGCAAAAATTTCCATTTAGTTGAAAAGATATTTTCCAGTGAAAGAAACATTCCAGTGGAAAATGTATGACCACCTATAATAATCAGACAGTTGAAAATTCCTCTTCAGTTTTGTTAATACAGACGCTCCCTGGGTTACGCAAACCCGATTTACGCAAATCCACACTTACGGAAAAAGTTGCGTACTTTTTGGTTTGGTTTGGTTTGTTTTTTTGTGTAATTGTCAAGTATACGTTCCCGACTTACACAAAATTTGACTTACGCAAGGCGTAACGGAACGCTTGCATAAGTTGGGGAGCATCTGTACCTGTTTAAGTCCTATGACCAACATTTTGGAGAAAAGACCTCGTAGTTAAAGTTCCAACAGCCCCATCTGCTTCAATTCAAGGGTAAGAGCTGAATAGACCTCTGAGACCTTTTACGAGGTCATCCAGCAAAACCAGGGGAGACCAGGTTTGACATTTCTGATATTTCTCAGCTAAAAAAAAAACACAGGAAAAACACCCCTTGTTCTATTTTTAAAAATCTTGGACACTTATTTTTTTCCGTCCTAAGGTGTCAAAAAAGGGTACAAGCCCAACTTTACAAGTCTATTGCAAGTCCCTTTTAAGGCATATGACTGAGAGTCATGACACCTGGCTTCCCTTCCTTTCTCTGCGGGTGACTTGCTTTGTGACTTTGGGCCAAAACTTTCACAGTTGGGTGCCTGAAGTAGTCACCTAAATCAGAGCTGTAATGTGTGCTCTGCTCCTCTGAATTCTGTTTAGGTCCTTGAACTTGAGCGCATCTGCATGGTATTGGAATACCCTTCAGTAGCACATTGAGCCTGAAAATCAGCCTCTGTTTATCATGATGCTTAAGGCCTTGTCTGTATAAGAAACTTATACTGGTATAAACTAAGTTGTGAATTTAAATTTCTGTGCTTACACCGATATAACCCCCATGTGGCCACTCTTACTCTGGTGTGAGGGCCTTTTTTTGGCTTAGCTAACGTTGCTTGGAAAACAGTTTCTACATAACCAAAAAAAGCTACTCTTCTACCAGAATGCGTTTCCATGTGCGAGAGTAATAACAGTAGAGTGTATAGTATGACTGGGAAAACTTTCCCACATAGACAAGGCCATAGTATGAATTTAAGTGACTTAATTTTAGGTATCAAGGTCAAAAACTTAGCCTTGCTTGTACTCTGTTGTAGTTCTTTAAAATGGGGACAATAATACCCACCCCACGGGGATGTTGAAAGAGTTACTTCGTTAATGTTTGCAAAGCATTGGGACATCCTTGCATGGCAGATGCTGTAGAACAAGGGTGGGCAAACTTTTTGACTCGAGGGCCGCATCGGTGTTACAAAACTGTATGGAGGGCTGGGTAGGGACGGCTGTGCCTCCTCAAACAGCCTGGCCCCGCCCCCTCCCACTTCCCGCCCCCTGACTGCCCCCCTCAGAACCCCCGACGCATTCACGCCCCCTGCTCCTTGTCACCTGACACCCCCCCTCCCGGGACCCCTGTCCCTAACTGCCCCCTCGGGACCTCACCCCCCTACTCCAACCCCCCGTTCCCTGACTGCCCCAACCCCTATCCACACACACACCCCAGACAGGCCCCCCCATGACTCACATGCCTATCCAACCCCCTCCCCCCCGCTCCTTGTCCCCTGACCACCCCCTCCTGGGGACTCCCAGGACCCCACCCCCTATCCGACCCCCCCGCTCCCTGTCTCCTGACTGTCCTGACCCCTATCCACACCCCTGCCTCCTGACTGCCCCCCAGGACCACACTCCCAATCCAACCCGCCCCCCCCCCGCCCCCTGACTGGCCTGCCCCCTATTCACACCCCCGCCCCCGATAGCTCCCTCCCTCCCCCGGATTCCCACACCTATCCAACCCCCCCGTTCAACGTCCCCTAACCACCACCCCCAGAATCTCCGCCCCATCCAACCGCCCCCTGTCCCCTGGAACCTCCTGCCCCTTATCCAGCCACCACCACCTTTCCATGCTACTCAGAGCAGCAGGAGCTCGCAGCCCTGCCGCCTGGCCGGAGCCAAACACGCTGCCCGGCAGGAGCGGCGGGCCAGAGCGCTGGCGGCATGCTGCGGCTGAGGGGCCGGGGGCTAGCCTCCCCGGCCGGAAGCTCAGGGGCTGGGCAGGACGGTCCCGCGGGCGGGAGTTTGCCCACCTCTGCTGTAGAAGGAGAAAAGGATAACAATCATTCTGTCAGAGATGCAAAGTTGTCCTGAAAATGTACCAAACATAATACCAAACTTTACCAAACATAATTCATTTGCTCAGCTTTGCCAGGACGATGTCAGTGGAGAAATGAACACCATTGTAATAGTCTGTGTGATATTGCAGAGCCGCAGAGCATGCCGCTCCTTGCCAGATCGCCCAGCACCAACAGGAAGTACCCGCCACTGCCTGTGGATAAATTGGAAGAGGAGATTAACCGGCGAATGGCAGACGACAATAAGCTCTTCCGGGAAGAATTCAACGTGAGTGCTTTGTTAATGTCTATCTTCTGAACGCGGTTCAGTCATGCAGGGGATTGCAGTGGGTTGAACAATGAAAGGGGTGTTTTGTTTATCAGGTAGAAGTACTTACCATAGCAGATTGAGCCAAATCAGTCTAGACTGCTGTTCACCTCTCAAGCTAATCAAGACGGTTTCTCTGTAGCTCTGCAAAGCAAGCAATGTTAGATGTGGTTACAATATTGTAACCAATCTATCGCCTGTTAGGGACTTCACAGTTGTTGCTATGCTACATGTCAAGGCCACCCAGAAGTTCGCAGTTACAAGGATAGAATTCTCATCCTCCTGTCTCCTCAGTACAGGCCCCAACTGCTTGAGCTAAAAGGGTAGCTGTTGGAGGTATAGGGCATATGATCTACAGTGGGGCAGTCTGATCTTATCCAGCAGGGGGCAGTGGTGCACAGACACACCAACCAGTTTTGTATAGAACAAGTGAATAGGTTGATACATTTCTGGCTGGGCAACATGGGTCAGAAACAGTGAAGAGGATGTCCCCCTCTCTGTGTTTGAAAGAGTACTCTGTTTATGTGACTGTCGTCCACACACCCAGCTGTTCCGGATCAGCAGGGCTGCCAGCTTTTCCTAACTTGACCTGCTGCTTGGGCCCCTTCCAGATTCCTTCACTCCCTCTTCCCCTGCATCTTCCTGTTTCCTTTGTTAAAATAAGTCCCTGCATTATTTATTTAAACCCAGGGCGTGACAATAATTGTATTTCCATTGGGGGTTCCGCCTTCTCTGTACCATTTGCAGCCGTGTTCAGTGTTAGCCATGATGGGATGATTGCATGAATGAAGAAGTGTAATTGTGCTGATAAGACAAGATAATGAATAGGTCTCTGTTTCCAGTAACAGGTGTCCAGCTTCAGAAGAGCTGGCCCTGGAGCGTAACAAGTGGGATTCCATATTATCTGGGCCAGTGGAGAGCTAACACAGTGCAAGCCATGTCTTGTGATTAGACAGTGGGACTGGGAGTGAGCAGATCTGGAGTCTATTCCCAACTTGGCTCCTGACTCTGAGTGACTTTGGACAAGTCCCTTCAGCTCTCTGTGTTTCTGTGTATCCACCTTCAAATCAGAGATAAGAACACCCACCTACACCTCACAGAAGTGTATGAGGCTTAATTTGCTAATGTTTAGAAAATATTTAGAGACTGACCGCCAGAAGCTGGGACTGGGTGACAGTGGATGGATCACTTGATAATTGTCCTGTTCTGTTCATTCCCTCTGGGGCACCTGGCACTGGACTAGATGGACCATTGGTGTGACCCAGTGTGGCCATTCTTATGTTCTTAATCTCAAATAGAAAGTGCTATAGACAAGACCCTGTGTATGCGGTGGTTCCATCACTGTGGAGCGGGGCCCCAAAGTGTAAGCTTAGTTTTTCTAGTCTTTATGGCTGCAAAGAGAACTTAAAAAAACATGACATGGATGTTAAAACAATGCAGTGTTGCCTTCCAGAGTCTACAGACTGCCAAAAACAGGAGCTGTAAGTGAGAAAGAAACTATCCTAGTTATTTCAATGTAGTGTTAACTCAGAAACCTAATGGTGACAATTGAAACATCAGCACTGCTACCATTTTCATCACCAGTCATTTCTGCTGGCATATCCAGGTATTGGGCTTATCTCACAATCCCAAATTGTCTCCCATGTCTCTCAAAGTGCCTGCACTCAGCTGTCCCCTGTGCAGTGGTAAAACCTACAGCTTTCCCTGACTACATTGCTGATGCAGTTAAACCTTGCCAATACAAAAATCTTTGGCACACTGAAAATTAATAATGTAGGGGGCAAAGTAAAATAACTGAGTTAAGTATCGAAATAAAGTGCTTAGGAGCTGCTGTACTGAATGGATTCTCCATTGTCATGATTAATAAAGAAAATCTCTGAGAACTGCTACAAGATTTTCAGCACTGAGTTGCAGAATTTAGGTCCGGTTTTCCCCAGGATACACAGGGCCTTGGCTGTAGAATTACAATACCTTACTGTTAGACAAACCCACCAGAATTCCTTGTGCCCTAGCCAAACATTTCCCCTCTCCCAACTGCTGTTGGGCCAGTTGGTTGCTGCCTTGCACCACAGAAGTGGCTGCATTTCAGTAATTGAGTGTTAGTGTAGTCAGTAAACTTCTTTGGGATCATTTCTGCTGAAATGTGAATTGCACTCTGGACTTCTGTCCCCAAAGCACAGGCCACTGTCTCTTGAGCTAACAGAATGACTCTTTAGTTGGTAGCAGCAGTAGGTTCTTATCCTCTTGTGTGGACAGCCAGTAGAGGAAGACACTGAGCTAGTGGGCTACATAAGATCACCAATGCTGAGAAACTCCACTCTGTCTCCCCTCAATCTTGAATACCTGCTACTTCCCCAGTTGTGGACCAAATCACATTGTGATCATATCTGATCTACTGTGATGGAAAGTTGTCACCCTCTGCCATCTATTTGGTGGCTTGCATGGAACAACTCAGTAGGTCTCAGTCCAGTTCCTCCTGGAGATGGGTCTGCATCACAGCACTAGCACATTTAGCTCCAATTGGCCATCTTGCCAGAGAGGCCTAGGACTGCATGGGTTGTGGAGAATGAATCCCCTGGGAAGGGGTCTATCCAGGTCCCGGTTGGGGTGAGTTGGCAAGGCAGAGTGGGGAAGCTTGCTCAGTTGCTGTTTGTGCTCTGTGGAGAGAGGACGTTACTTTCCAGGGCTCTCAGGCTGCTATCTTTGAATCAACCCTCAATTCACTTGACTATTTTTTAAAGAAGAAAAGCCCATTGCCCCTGTGCCCAGAATTGGCTCATGGTACCATAGAATGTTCCACCCATCTGATATGGGGTGGGGGTAACTAATGGGATATGGGGCTGACCAACCAGCTCCAAGCCCTAATTCAGTCTGCTCTATCACTGATGGCATTTGGGATCTGACAAACTGCGGTAACGGGAAAAGAGCTGAGCTGCACCTACCCTGTGTCGGATGTGCTGATGGGCTGGTCCGGTTTGTGTTGGAGGAGGATTTGCTGCCACCTTGTGTTTCTGGATAATATGGCACCTTATTTCATATTAGGTGAAGATTTGCTCCCTGCAAGGAGGCCTTAGCTTGTGTAAACAGTTATCTGAGCCTCTATTCCATCGCCTTCCCCTCCATCTAGACAGGCTCATTTTTCATTAACCGTTTTCCATCTTGAGATGTCTGTGTTCAGAAATGAATTGCCTCTGTGAATAGTGCTAGCAGAGATGTGCTCTCCTGCCATGCTGCAGTAGCAATAGGGCATCTACAGATCCTAAAGCACTTCACAAACGGCACTGAGTATTATTGGAACTATGAAACCCTAATAGTTCATTTGTGCCTTCTGGCTTTGGGAGAAGGGATGGGGAGATGGTGGAGGATTGTGGCCTCAAGTGTAGAGGGGCTTCCCCTGGTCATCCTTTCTAAGGGCCTCCCACTGTACTCATGTACGAGCTCAACAGAGCAGAGTTGCACTAAACTGAGCCCTGGCTGTTTCCCATGATCCCTTTGCTGTTACAGGAGTATGTGCTGTCCCTTTGCTCTATGTACCCCCTCCCACTCTTCTCCTGAGCTAGCCAGCTTCTCTGAAGGGGACAGGAAGATGAGCCTTCAGCATTTCCCTTTGACAGTGATTTGTTATGGAGGGAGCAGTGTTTGCCTAGAGGTTAGAGCAGGGGTCTGGGAGTCAGGACTCCTGGGTCCTATTCCTAGCTCTTCCAGTTGTCATTTGTGTCATTTCCATTGTGTCATCTTAGGTAAATCCTGTAACCTCTGTGCCTCATTTTCCCCCAAATGAGAGGCTACTGACTTACCGCCTTTGAGATCTTGGATGAAAGACCCTCGAGATACAGCAGGGCTGATCACTGTATAGAATTGCTGGTCGATTTGTGTTTATTACAATAACATGTTCTCCCCCACCCTTGCGTACTGTGGAAATATAACAGAAAATCTCATTTCTCCTGCCCTTTCAGGCTCTCCCAGCGTGCCCCATCCAGGCCACATGTGAAGCCGCCTCCAAGGAGGAAAACAAAGAGAAGAACAGATATGTGAACATTTTGCCCTGTATGTATTTGCTCCCAGTGCAGCTCCATTGAGGCTTGTGGGGGTGGTGTAGCCAATTGCGGCTGGTGCTTCTGCTGTTGGCCTGTTTCTCCATTCTATATGGCTGTTATGGACGGAAGTGGGGAGTGTAACAGGCCTGCTGAGCGGTGATTGCTAAGTAACAGGAAACCACATACCAGGTGTTGAGTTAAAGCAATAGGAGAGGTCAGGTTGGTTCCCACCACTGTGCAGGCTGCTTCGTCCGATGTAGGTCCAGTTAACACGTAGTAGAAAGAGCTCCCTGCAGCTGTAGCCCAAGCGGGAAAGACTCAGGACAGTTTCTATTGGACGGGTGTCCATGCTGTTGTAACGACCCTAGTGGCAAAGATTGAATGGGCCCTGGAGAGTGAACTCCTCTCTCTTGAGCTTGTCTAGGCTAGGATTTAAAGTGTGACGTTTGCACTTCTTAGCTAACACACGCTATCTAACACATTTGCAAAGTCTAGTGTAGACAAGGCCACCTGCCTTTTAACACATGTCAAGTTATAGCCTGGAAGGATGCAGGCGTACATCATAGGCAGTAGCTAGAGCACAGGTCGTGGTGGGAAGGTGGGGAAGATACAAAATTAAACTGAACAGGAGGCAAAGAACTCTCAATTGCCTGAATATAACTGGAGAGAGACAATGTATTTGCATAGTCAAGGGTTGGATGAGCACTGGGCATGGAACCCTCTTAGTTTAGACACTCTGCAGAATTTATCACATCTGTAGGCTTAAGCACATGATGATTTCAGTGCATAAAGCTTTCTATAAATGCAGTGAAGTGAAACCTTGGGAACCTATCCAGCCAAAGGCTTCCTCTACCTGAGACACCAATCAGATAATCAGCTTCCTCTGGATATAGAAGTTCATTAACATCTATTTAGTTTTTAATGCATAGTTTTGATTTTTCTCCAGATGATCATTCCAGGGTTCATCTGACTCCCATCGAAGGTGTCCCGGATTCTGATTACATTAACGCCTCCTTCATTAATGTAAGTTCCTGCATGGACTTTGTTACTGATTGGTTTGAAGGGTGCCTGGTCCTGTGATGCCTAGTGGCCTCACTCCAAGTGAAACAGGCCATGTACCTTACATGGAGTGTGGTTATGGTCAGGAAAGGGACTGCTAAGATATGTCCCCTTGGTACTGCCCCCCCCCCCTCCTCTCTCTCTGACTCATGTCTGCTTAGTTCACTGGCCAAGAGTTGTTATGCTGTTGTCAATGCTGTAGTGTCAATACACCTGTGGGAGAGGGAGCTGTGTTCTGTTCTGCCTCATACATCCACAAAGGGAATGTGGTCTTAGAGCAAGGGGCTGAGAGCCAACACCACTGTTCCTTGCTCTGCCACTAATGTGCTGTGTGACCTTGGTCACGTCTCTCTGTGCCTTTATTGTGGAGCTTAGCTTTCATGTTTGGAAAGGGCTTTGTGGACATCCCTGGTTGAAAGACAAATTTTAAGTGAAGGTGATTAACCATTGGAACAAACTCCCCAGGGAAGTGGTGGATTCTCCATCTTTTGATGTCTTCAAATCAAGACTGGATGCCTTTCTGAAAGACACCATTTAGTCAAGCACCAATTACTGGGCTCAGTGCAGAGGTAAATAAATGAGTGTAATTCTCTGGCCTTTGTTATACAGGAAGTCAGACTAGATGATCTCATGGTCCCATTTGGCATTTAAAATCTATAAATTACTGAGGACCCAGTCCTGCAATCCCTCCATGTTCAGAGCTCCCTTCGTAGCCAGTGGGAGCCAGGCAGCCAAAGGACTTGCAGGATTGGAAACAAAGTGCATGAAAAAACAACCAGCTGGCTAGCTAAATTCTGCTTACAGCACTTTTGGGTCTGCTCTGCTCCCATTAGAGTCAATGGGAGTTTTGCTGTTGACTCAGATGGGATAAGGAGATCATGGCTTTTGCTAGTGAAACATGGTGACAGATACCTATTTTGATGCATGAAATGTGTCCCTTTCTGTGACAGGTCACTGAGTGAGCGATTAATCCAGAGTGCCGTCTATAGAGTTACTTCCAGAAGTTGTTTCCCTTTAAATAAACAATAAAGTATAATCATTGCACAAATGAGTGTTACTAGAGAGAAGAGGGGTGATCTTGTGGGTAGAACACTGGCCTGGGACTCAGGAAATTTGGGGGTCAATTACTCTCTCTGGCACTGACTTTCTGTGTGGCCTTGGACACGTCGCTTAATCTGTGCCTCAGTTTCCCATCAGTATAATGGAGCTAACAATACTTTTTCTCACAGTGTTTGTCTGTTTAGATGGTAGATTTTTCAGGGAAGCGACTGTTTTACAATGTATATGTACAACACCTAGCATAACAGAGCCCCAAATCATTTGGGACCTATTGGTGCTAACGTAATGCAGATAATTAATAGTAGCAATAAGAACTATTAAGAGGAGCAATATGTTCTCCACGTATTTTAAAAGGAGTATTAATGCACCAAAAGAAAAGCAAGGTGAGCCAGGAATGAAATCAATTTTATTCTCTCTGAAATACAAATTGGCATCAACAAGAAAAGCAAAGAACCCTTTAAACACTCTAGCCAGGAGCCTGCAGGGTGTCTGCTGACTTGTGTGGACGCTGAGTGGTGTTCAGACTGTGGTGCCTGAGCTCAGCTGTAAAGTTATCACACATCACTATGCCTGTGCTTTGGGGGAAATTCCTTACTTCAGCCCCTTTGATGGGCAAATTCAATGACTCCGCAGATCATACAAGGCCAGACTATGCTTCCTTCAGGGAGGGGATCCTCTGGTCCTGGTCCTTGCCTGGCTTGGGCACTGTTTCTCCAACCAGAGCCTGCTGGGCCCATGCTGATGGGTTTGGGAATGGGACTGGTTGTTGGGAAGAGTGGGCAGGTCAGCAGTGGAGTAAGTGAATGTCAGCTCAGTTTATTAACCACTTGGCAACTTGTCATGATTCTTGGTCTCCCTTACACTCCGCTGTACTGCATTCTTAGCACATCTGCTTAGGCCTGGGGGCAGGGATTCCAAAAACCTTTCTCTGCACTTTCCACTAGCAGCGCACCCAGCCACAGACTGCTATAACACAGCACTTCCAGCTGCTGACCCATTCCACATATAAAGCCAAGCACCATCTACTGGTGGAATAATGTATGATGTTTGTCATCCCAAAGGATTCCTAATTTATTTTACAATCTTAGGAGAGATTAGATTAGGGGAGAGAGAGTTTGTAAAATGCTGTAGGATCCTTCAAGATGAACGTTGCTGCGTTATAAATATGGATCACATCACCCACCATGGGACTGAAGCTATCTCGGGGGTGCAACACAGTAACTGCTTTTTAACAGCTTACAGCTGGACGAGAAGCAAATGAAGAACACCATATCCAATTGAAACTGCATTGTGATTGCTGCTAATGGGGAAAGATTTCCTTCAACTCTGAGAGCTAGGATTAACAGGTCACTCTGTGGCACTAATACAAGGTTCCTCTTGTATGGATGCTGCCAAGTTGCCAGGGTCAGCGGAGTTGTGAGAGCGATGTTGTGTGGTCTCAAAACGCACAGTGAAGGGAATCCTTGTATGTTTGCTGATGTGAACACCGGGCACAGTGCTCCAGAGAGAGGGAGACTGAGATGCACCCAGCTTTGTCTTGAAGTAAGGCTGCTCTTTCATTGTGGTGTTCCTTTTTCTTCTTGTCTCTCTGCAGGGGTACCAAGAAAAAAACAAGTTTATTGCTGCACAAGGTAAAATCTGTAGTCTGCTCTGGTTACTGTGTCAAGCTGATGGGGGTAATTCTTCCCTGATCTATGAAATTGTGAAATTTTACCTGTGGCTCAACAGCCCTGGACCCACCATCTTTGTCTAAATCCAGGGAGTCTGAGATGGAAATGTAGGAAATGCCATAGTATGGACAGATTGTAAGCCCATGTACAAGTTCAGTGCTAGATGTGCCAAAGGAAGGCATCGAACTCCAGGAACCTATCTCTGCAATACTGGATCTTAGGGAGGAAGTCAAGTCAATTCCTTCCTGACCTCAGCTGGTGTTCAGCTTGTGCCCTGAAGCATGAAGATCTTGGGTACTTACAACCCCATGTCTCTGCTAGTATAACTGCCGGGCTGTTGTGATTCATATAGGCCTGTAGCCCTTTCTGGAAATGGTGTAAGCTATTGGACTCAATCAAATCTCATAATAAAAGCACAGGCGTCCACTGATGTGAAAACAGTTTCAGGCTTATTTGGTCTAATCTCCACTCCTTTTGTACATCAGTAGGCAATGGTGTATCATTAAAATGTGGTGCATCAACAGAGAAAAACTTAGTTGCAACATTCACTATGCAAGACTTTTCCTTCATGACAGGGGGAGGAGTGATGGATACTGACAAGTGGGCGAGTTTCTCAAATCTTGCCAAACCCTTCCTGTCTCCCACCCCCACAAGCCAGTCCAGAGCAGGGGTTGTGCACCATCTGTACCTCCTTGGCACTGGTGGATTTGCAGCATTGTATGTGGTACTGACCACGCTGCTGCATGCCCAGCAGACTGTGGCCCTAAAGCCATGAGAGGACCATGCCAGTAAAGGAAGCGGCTCTGATGGTGTAGAATGTGTAGCAGCTCCTACCCTACCCCACCACCCTTTATCCCTGCTACTGGCATAGGGGGCTTCCCTACACGCTGCTGATCACCACCCGCTGTAACAACCCCATGGGCCAGTGGCAACTGTTGTAACTTGGAGCAGTGTTACAGCGAAGTCATGTTAGAGGATGGGCCTGGCATTCAGCCAGCCCAGCAGAAGGGATGGCAATGCGCGTACTGTGTGTTGCCCAGCCATAGCCTGGGGTTTGGGTCAGGATGTTTAGGTTCAGTTCAGCAGCTTGTCTGGTGGGCGGTCAGTAATTACTCTTCTGAGAGAGCCCTGCAAATCCGCGAATATTCTCTTTTTATAGCCGCAGATAGCCGCATCCACAGACCATTTTGGTGGATTGCAGATCGGATGCACGTATACATTTTGTATCCGTACGGGGCTCTACTAATGAGTACCAAATTTAAGGAAGCTCTTGCAGTTAAAGCACAGGACTGGCAATCAGGACTCCCAGGTTCTGTTTCTGGCTCTGTCACAGATTCCCTGTGTGACCTTGGGCAAGTCATTTGATTGCTCCGTGCCTCAGTTTCCCTCTCACATTGATCCTAGCGTGCATTGCTACAAATGTAAACTGGTCATAGAATGTATCCAGTCCCTTTTAATAATACAGCTATATAGAGGGGAATTTGAGTGCTCTTTGCTGCCACTTAGTGGGGGAAAAAGTGGAAAACCTGTTACATCGCTGCACAGTCATTAACAACTCTCTTGGGGCATAAGCGTTCGTGGGCCAGACCACTTCACTAACACGGCTACCACTCTGAAATCTATTACCAACTCTGTATGTGCCTCTCCCTGCTGGTTCTTACTAGGAGAAAATCTGGCAATGGCTGGATGATGCGCCCTTCCAGTGCATAATACCTCTGTTTGGTCTTTGTCTTTTTAGGACCAAAAGAAGAAACAGTAAATGATTTCTGGAGAATGATTTGGGAGCAGAACACAGCGACAATCGTCATGGTGACTAATCTGAAAGAGAGAAAAGAGGTGAATGTCAGGGAATACTAGCCACATGGACATGTTTAACCTGCTGTGATGGTGAATGGAGGCATGGGGAATTCCTGGGCTTGCCACACGCTGGACAAGCACATGAAAACTGGGCAGCTAGGCAAGCGGTTACTTCAATTGTATGTGCCCATGGGAACAAAGCCCCTAGAAGGGCTGTCTGTGAGATGGAACATGGGACTTCTGGATCTAAAAGCATAAGCTTCTACCGCTTGCACTAAAAGACCCCATCCATTAGCCTGCAGATAGTAGTAAACTTGTACACTTTTATATGTGACCCAGCCACTAGAGAGGGACAAAGAGCTGCAAGTTAGCTTGAGTTATCCGTGTGTTGCGGTCTGCAGATATAATTGATACATGAGCTTCTGCACATTTCCCCATAGCTCCTCTCCCCTTAACAGATGTGACAAACATGCACTCCACACACAAGGAAGCAAACAGTCAGGGCCTGCACTGCTCCCATTGAAGCTATTGGCCAAACTCCCCTTGTTTTCAACAGGAACAGGATAGGGGACCAGATCTTCAGCTGGTGTAAAACAGCATAACTCCATTGACTTCAGTAGAGCCAATTTACAGCAGCTAAGGATCTGATCCAGTGTCTTTATTTTTGTTACAATTCAGCTGTAAACTCATAGGGCCTAGTTCCCCACTGTGTTACCGCAGTGTCACTGCTGGGCTCCCTGGGGAATTGGTCTAATCCAAGATGGCAATTCCCAGGTACTTTTACCAGGCTCATCCTTGGGTCTCTAGACACTGGGCTTTCATAGATTCCAAGACCAGAAGGGACCACTATTATCCTCTAGTCTGACCTCTTGCGTAACCCAGGCCAAAGAACTTCCCGAAATAATTCCTTGCCTTGCTTTTGTATTATTTCTCTCCAGTGCAAATGTGCTCAATACTGGCCAGATCAGGGCTGCTGGACCTATGGAAACATCCGGGTGTCTGTGGAGGATGTGACTGTCTTGGTTGACTACACAGTGCGAAAGTTCTGCATTCAACAGGTACCATGGTTCACTTACTCCCCTTCACTTCCTTACTACCATCTCCGCTTTCCGTCACAGAAAAGCAGGAGAGAATTAAGGTGCTCCTGCCTGTAGCGAGGATTGTCTGACTCACTACAAAGCCCCAAACTTTCACAATGCCCCCTTGGGGCGTAGGTTGGGATGGTTTGTGTGCCTCTTTGAAGGACGCAGTCATGGTAAAAATTATACACTTTAAAAAAATAGTTCTTCCTGTGTTGTTAATTGCGCCCTGAGTTTTGAGAGTGAAATAACTAGAGTCCTCACTCGGTTTTCACCATAGCTTTTTGCATTTAACTCAGCTTAGTTAGATAAGGCCACCTCCTCAGCTGGTATAAATCTGCATCGCTCTGTTGGAGCCATTGGAGATGCACTGATTTGCACCAGCTGAGGATCTGAGGATGGGCCAGTGTTGCTTTAATAGTTAGCATACACAGTTTTACATGTGCATTTGCATGTGCAGTTACCACAGTTGCATGTGGAAGTGGGGCAGGTGCAGACCCGGATGGGCCAGTAAGGGCCTAAATTCCCCCTTGTGCATGCAGTTTCCCAGTGTGTACACACTGCTACAGTCGTGCATTTGCTTGTGTATTTTTGCACTTGGGCCCTCACTCTCTGTTACGGAGCATGTGGCCGCGTGCACTTAGCAAAATGTTAGACATCTCAAGCGGAGCAGAGATGGAATCCAAAGCTGCAGTTATTCCCCCCCCCCCATTTCTATGGTCTCACTTGCCATAGAATCTGAGCACCTCATGATCACTAATGGAGTTTATGCTCACAATCCCCTAGTGGGGCAGGGCAGTGCTATTATGGGGAACTGAGGCAACTTGTCCAGTGTCACACAAGCAGTCTGTGGCAGAGCTGGGAATTGATCTTGGATCTCCTGAGTCCCAGTCCCGTGCATTGACCATTGGCTCATCCTTTCTGTGCTTGGCGCCTCTCTCCCCTTTATACAGTTAGGACAGAGGTTAACAGGAGAGCTGTGTGAAACGTTTACAGTGGAATTGAACAGTGAAAACGTGCCCTATTATGAATCCAAGTCTTGCTAAGTGAGCCACTCCTGAGAATGCTGGGTCACTCTGTGCCCTCGGGTGCTGTAGGAGTGAAACGCAGCAGCTTTGACCTGGTTTGATTCAGCTGGAAATGCAAAGTGAAATTCCTGGGGTGGTAGCCAAGCAGCCAGCAGGATTCCTGACCACCCCAGACGTCGGCTTCTGGGTTTGGAGTCTCCCTTGGCACTACCTTATTGAGAATGCACTACAGGACAATTGCAGGCTCCAAAAAGCCTTAGAAGAATTGTGTGGGGCCCATCTAGTTTCTGTCCCCTCCCTCAGTAAACACCAGGAGGCACAGAAGAGATTGGCCTACCTCCATTGACTTCAGTGCAGCTGAGACTCTGGTCCTAGGACTTAAGAAACACTGAGGTATAAGCTAAGCAGTTCCTTGAGATTCCATAGTCTTGGAGTTTGGGGCACTAGTAGGATGCAATACCTGATTTTCAGCCATCAGGCCTTTGGAACCAACCCTGAATCCCCAAACCGGCTTCAACCCCCCTGAACTTTAGGGCTGCTTGAACCCCGGACTGGAAGCCCCTCTCTGCTCTCAGTTTCTGGGGGAAGGTAATGAAGCTGAGTGTGTGACAGTAACCAAGGCATGTGATCTCCCCACAGGTAGGTGATGTCACAAACAAAAAGCCTCAGCGCCTGGTGACCCAGTTCCACTTCACCAGCTGGCCTGACTTTGGGGTCCCCTTCACCCCTATTGGGATGCTGAAGTTCCTGAAGAAGGTGAAGACGTGTAACCCCCAGTATGCAGGAGCGATTGTCGTTCACTGCAGGTGAGTCCAGGGCCATGTCTCCCAAAGAGTTCTCCTTCTCCATGTATCTCTGCCTGACTGCTCTTGGGGGTTACCCGGAGAAACCTGTTCTATCTCCTGTGGAAGGTTGGCAGGGGCAGGCAGAGGGGGTCCTGGCTACCTGACGCTGGATTCACTACATGAGTGCAAGCAACAGCCATAGACACACATAAATCACATGCACGGGAGCTGGGACTAGAGCCCTGCCCTTTCACCTTCAAAAGCACATGCCTCACATGAGTCATGGTGACCAAAGAAGATTGCCTGTGACTAGCAGGAGTAGTAGTAACAGCTCACTTGGCTGCTCTGTGGACCCAGCCACCAGGGGGTAATATCACAGCAGGCTAGAACATTCCAGCATCCTGCATTTGAGATTTGGGCTTTAACCCTTACTGGAGTGGATCCCAGACACAGCAATGAGCTCCAGGCTCTCTCTCTACCTGGAATACCCCAGGCAAGCTCTGCAGCTTCTTTGTTAATAGCCACCATATTTGCATGCCCCACCCCTGGTTCTAGAGCACTGCCAGGGAGGGTGGGAGCCAGCCAGGCATCTTGACTTGCTCAGGGTCATGGTGGCAAGTGAATGGCAGAACCAGCAGTTGGACCCAGTTCTCCTGACTCCCATTCCCCTGCTCTGGCCATGAGAAAATGCTGCCTGTAATGCCGTTCACTTCTGTAGCCCCTTTCATCCTTCACAAACTAGAAGGACCCAGCAGAACTGATATGCAGCCACCTCTAGAGAGGAGCGTGGTAGCCAGCGTAACAGGGGGAGCTAGAGAAGATTTGATTGAGGATGTTGGGCAAATCCCTCTTGCATGCCAAAATCACGCACTCTCACTCACACACTCACTGTAGTGCATGGTACTCAATGTGTCTCCCTCAGGCTCCCTGACAGGTCTCAAACTTGCAACTCCAAGCAGTCTGCGTGATTCGAGCTAGTGCGAGAATCCACCCTGAGCCTCTCCAGCCCTACAAACACTTCCATGAAACGTTCCCACAAGCCTGACCTTCGCTTGGGCTCCTCTCCCCCTTGATACATTGAGAGCTGAGCACTGAGAACAGGAACCCAAAGCACGGCCAGAGCCCGAGAGAGGAGCGACGGAGCTGGGCTCTGGCCTGTCGCAGTGATGGCTGCCATGGGCCCACCCTGGAGGGGAGAGGGCAGGCTGGAAGGAAGCTGGGGGCAGAGGACAGCCAGGCAACAGCCACAGGCAGCGCTTCAAGACGCTACCAGTCTGAATTGACTCCGGGGTTCACTGTGGCCTGCTCTGTGCTCTCGTGCATGAGTCCCCGGGGGTGGGATTGTTGGAGTCTAGAAATGTCTGTCTCAGCTGTAGCCTTTGGACCCAAGAATAGCCTCTGCTGTAGTTGGGTACAAGTTCGAGCTCCCTTCTTCTTTCTTGTCTGGAATGGGTTGAGCTGCCTGCTGTCTAGGGTGAGTTGTTGTAGCCTCTTGGCTCTTTCTGGTGCTTTGCGCAGCAGTTAACCTCCCTGAGCAGGTGTGGGGCAGTGGAAGGGGCCACACTCCAATGGCAGCTGCACTGACTGCTTGTTCCTCTGGTGTTCCAGCGCCGGAGTAGGACGCACAGGCACTTTTATCGTCATTGATGCCATGCTGGACATGATGCATGCAGAGAGGAAGGTGGACGTGTATGGTTTCGTGAGCCGGATCCGGGCTCAGCGCTGCCAGATGGTACAGACAGATGTAAGTCCACTCCAAGGGGCTGGAGAGGCGCTCTGTGACACTGGGCACTTACATAGCACTTCCCACGCTCGGAACACTGCAGACAGACGCTAATCAGTTGCAGCACCCCTGTGAGGTGTGTCAGTCTCACCTCCATTTTACAGAAGGGGCACTGAGGCACAGACAGGTGAGGTGATTTGTCCAAGGGGACACAGCAAGTACGTGGCAAAGGCAAACCTACTGACTCCCAGAACCTCCATTCATTCCTCCAGATCATGGCACTTTCCAGCTTCCACCCATTACTGGAGCATGGCTGATAACACTTTGCCCTTTGTAGCAGTGGTGCACAGACTTTTCCAGTTGTGCCCCCTTTACCAGTAACAGAATCTGCCTGTGCCCCCCCTTCCCGCATTACTACACAGCCAACGTTTCCTCTGGACCAGGCGCCTTCTTCCTTGCAGCCAGGCTGCACTGCTAGGGCAGGGCCAATACCTGCCGCTCCCCCGTCGAGTGTTCAGGGTGGGGGAAGGCACGTCTCTGGGGGTGGAGCCAGTGCTGGGGGTGGAGGCTGCTGGGAATGGAACTAGGCGCCGCACACTGACCCACAGGCTGGGTGGCCTGCTGAGGTGAGTCGGGTGGAGGTGATTTTCCCTCCGTGCCCCTTGTGGGGGCTGGCACGAGCCGCCTGACATCGCTGCTTGGCCTCCCGAACATCCCCCTGTGCCCTGCTAGGGGGCACGCCCCACAGTTTCAACACCACTGTTATATATCACCCTTCATGCAAGGATCCCCAAGCCCTTTGCAAACCTTAACTAAGCCTGTGTTGCAGGCAGGTATCACCATCCCCGTTTTACAGACAGTGACACTGAGGCACAGTGAGGGCAAGGCCAATATTCTAACAAGTAGCCTCTGATTCGGGATGCATCAGGGTTTGGGAGTCCAGCTCTGGACATTCAGTAGTAGCAACCATGCTCAGCCATTTAAACGGTGCATGTGGCCTTCCCCATTCTCCATGGACAGGGGAAGTCCTGTTGCTCCAGCTAAGCCTGCGTGTGAACACCAGAGCTCTCCAGGCAGCCAGGAGCTTCCTCGCTGAGCCACTCTTCATTGTTCCATGCATACCAGGTCTGCCCTTGTTCCCCCACCCTGTTTCCTTCAGCCATGAGCATCTCCTGATCTGCCAGCCCATGGCCCCGCTCTGTAGCTGCTCACTGAGAACATGTTATAAGAGTTTGATCCTCTCCCAGATGGGGGGAAAGTTCCCATTGACTTTCATATGTGGTTGTGCTGATGTTGGTGCCTGGACTTTGGGTTCCATCCTTTCCACACGCTCTCCTAGAGTGCACTCAGTCTAAAGACCGAGAGCTGAATGGGTTCAGAGCATGGTACGGAAGCTGCCATCTCTCCCTGTAACCTCTCCCTTCCCTTTCAGATGCAATATGTTTTTATATACCAAGCACTTCTGGAGCACTATCTGTATGGAGACACAGAGCTAGAAGTGACCTCGCTAGAGACCCACGTCCAGAAAATCTACAACAAAGTGCCCGGGACCAGCAGCAACGGGCTAGAGGAGGAGTTCAAGGTGGGTTTGCCAAAACCATGCTGGCTCAGTGCCCTTGTAAAGAGAAACCAGGTGTCTCATGAAAGTTGTATCCAATCCCATCCTGAGCTAGCAGGTTCTCCAGGGAGAGTGACCGCCAGACTCGACAAAATGCTAGGCAGTGCCTGCAGAGGGAACAGCCCTCCGCTGGCACGAAGAGGCTGGATGATCTGTTTGTTCCTTAAATATCTAATAGAAGGCGGCCCTTAGTTCCCCCAGCAGGAACATTTCACTGGAGTGTGTTTGTTGTAACCAGTGCAGTTTCTCTGTGATACCTGGAAGCCAGCTGGTTTGAGGGTTTGGAGGAGACCTGTAGGGGAATGCTAGCTCAAAGATTAGGGAAAGCAGCTGTCAGCTGAGAAGCGTGGCCTGGGACTCCTGACACGAGGGAGTCCTTCAAAGCCAAAGCACACCTGAGCTCCTAGTGCCCCCTGTCTTCCCACTGCTGGTTCCCAGCTCAACAGCCAGGACTTAACAGGAGGAGGCAGGGCTGGGGACTGGGTACAGTAGAGTGGATTCTCTGTCTAGCCACTTTTATGGCCCCCATTGCTGTAGTGTCAGTGTCTGTGTCTTGCAGAGATCAGCACTAGGGAACTGTTACTATCCCTGTCTGACAGATGGGCCTCCGGGGCACACACAGATGAAGTGACTGGCCCAAGGCCACATTGGGAATCTTTGGCAGAGCCAGGTCTCCTGACCATCCTTATGAGAGTACAGAGGGGGATCGTAGCTCTGACAGCTCCATTGCAGAATACAGTGTGCACAGCTGCATACGATGAGACACAGGCCGTGGCATCATGCAGAGACCCGCCTCAAGGCTCATTATTTAAAGGAGGGGAGGGATGGCCTAGAGTAACAATGGTGAAAGCGTGAGCTCTCTCTGCTGGTGCAGATCCCAGTGGCTGGGAACTGCTGGCTTGAGGCAGGTCACTCAGACTTGGCAGTTGGCTTGGATTGGCACAGGGCCTGGGCAGGCGTGCAGGCTTGGGGCGATTGGCTTGGACTGGTGTGGGGCGTTTTGACTGTTATGGTCTTGGCTTCTTTTGGTCATTTGAAAATTGTAGGTTGATTTTATTGTCCCCCATGCAGAAACTAACTTCAATCAAAATCCAGAATGACAAGATGAGAACAGGCAACTTGCCGGCAAACATGAAGAAAAATAGGGTGCTTCAAATAATTCCATGTGAGTTTTTCTTCCTTCCTGCCCGGGGCAAAGACACACTCAGGGGACAAATGAATAAATATAGAGGGTGAGTCATTTGGGAGGCAAGAGGCATCAGCAACTGCGGAGAAGGTGGCTCTCGCACCAACAGTAGTTAGTGAAGGGGATGGGAAGGAACCACTGTGAGTGGAGGGAGCAGAGTGGTCAGCATAAGATGGAAGGCTTTGAAAACAAATGAGGTAAATTTGAAGTGGATCCTGAAATGAATGGGGAGCCAGTGGAAGCATCTGAGCATTGAGACTGTAGCTGGGCTTACCCAGTCTGGCTTTGAGCCCTGCCCTTGCCTCAGTTTCCCCTTCTTCTCCAGTTTAGACAGGTGTTTTCTCAATAATTCTCCCCTTTTGGGAGTCTGATTTATTAAAAAAGTTGAAAACTTCCCCCAGTCTTCCTAGCTGGCTCATACCCTTGGTGGAGGGCTCTTAGACATGTCCCTGCCAAGGCTTTCCTCTAGCAGGCTGGCTCCCCACTCTCCAGCCCCCTGACCCCTTGCCTGGAAGCTAAGGGGCCTGTGACTCTGTACAGAGCAGCTCTTCTTCTCCTTTGAGTCTCTCTTCAAACTCTCCCTCACTGAGTTCATGCTGCCTTTTACATCTTCTAGTATAACTGGTTCTGAGTCATATGCTTTGATCACGTGACCTCTGTATTCATTCCCTCCACCTGGGGAGATGGGCAAAGCCTGGCTGTTGGGGCCACCTTACTCTGTGGCAGGCCATGTGCTCACGCTTCTTGGTGTTTGTGAGAAGCTGGGCATCAGCATGCAGACTAGAAGAGATGACTCATTGCACAGTACAAAGTAGCCTGCCCAGGAGATCATTGAATCATAGAAGATTAGGGTTGGAAGAGACCTCAGGATGTCATCTAGTCCACCCCCCTGCTCAAAGCAGGGCCAACCCCAACTAAATCATCCAGCCAGGGCTTTGTCAAGCCTGACCTTCAAAACCTCTAAGGAAGGAGATTTCACCACCTCCCTAGGTAACCCATTCCAGTGCTTCACCACCCTCCTAGTGAAATAGTTTTCCAAATATCCAACCTAGACTTCCCCAACTGCAACTTGAGACCATTGCTCCTTGTTCTGTCATCTACCACCACTGAGAACAACCGAGCTCCATCCTCTTTGTAACCCCCCTTCAGGTAGTTGAAGGCTGCTATCAAATCCCCCATCACTCTTCTCTTCTGCAGAATAAATAAGCCCAGTTCCCTCAGGTGCCCGGGACCAGCAGCAACGGCCTCTCTTCATAAGTCGTGTGCCCCAGCCCCCTAATCATTTTTGTTGCCTTCCGCTGGACTCTCCAATTTGTCCACATCCTTTCTGTAGTGGGGGGGGGGCCAAAACTGGATGCAATACTCCAGATGTGGCCTCACCAATGCCGAATAGAGGGGAACAATCACTTCCCTCGATTTCCTAGTAATGCTTCTACTAATGAAGCCAATATGCCGTTAGCCGCCTTGGCAACAAGGGCACACTGCTGACTCATACCCAGCTTCTCATCCACTGTAATCCCCAGGTCCCTTTCTGCAGAACTACCGCTTAGCCAGTCAATCCCCAGCCTGTAGCAGTGCATGGGCTTCTTCTGTCCTAAGTGCAGAACTCTGCACTTGTCCTTCTTAGAAATCTGATGAGGTTCTTTGGCCCAATCCTCCAATTTGTCTAGGTCACTCTGGACCCTATCCCTACCCTCCAGCATATCTACCTCTCCCCCCAGCTTAGTGTCATCCGTGAACTTGCTGAGGGTGCAATCCATCCCATCATCCAGATCATTAATGAAGATGTTGAATAAAACCGGCCCCAAGACCAACCCCTGGAACACTCCGCTTGATACCGGCTGCCAACTAGAGATCGAGCCGTTGATCACTACCCGTTGAGCCCAATGATCTAGCCAGCTTTCTATTTACCTTATAGTCCATTCATCCAGTCCATACTACTTTAACTTGCTAGCAAGAATACTGTGAGAGACTGTATCAAAAGCTTTGCTAAAGTCAAGGTATATCACATCCACCGCTTTCCCCCATATCTGTAGAGCCAGTTATCTCATCGTAGAAGGCAATCAGGTTGGTCAGGCATGACTTGCCCTTGGTGAATCCATGTTGACAGTTCCTGATCGCCTTCCTCTCCTCCAAGTGCTTCAAAATGGATTCTTTGAGGACCTGCTCCATGATTTTGCCAGGGATTGAGATGAGGCTGACCGGTCTGTAATTCCCCGGGGTCTCCTTCCCTTTTTTAAAGATGGGCACTATTTGCCTTTTTCCAATCGTCGAGGACCTCACCCGATCATCATGAGTTTTCAAACATAATGGCCAATGGCTCTTCAATCACATCAGCCAACTCCCTCAGCACCCTCGGATGCATTGCATCCGGCCCCATGGACTTGTGCATGTCCATCTTTTCTAAATAGTCCTTAACCTGTTCTTTCACCACTGAGGGCTGCTCACATCCTCCCCATACTGTGCTGCCACGTGCAGCAGTCTGGGAGCTGACCTTGTCTGTGAAGACCGAGCCAAAAAAAAGCATTGAATACTTCAGCTTTTCCACATCAACTGTCACTAGGTTGCCTCCCCCATCCAGTAAGGGTCCCACACTTTCCCTGACCACCTTCTTGTTAACATACCTGTAGAAACCCTTCTTGTTACCCTTCACATCTCTTATTAGCTGCAACTCCAATTGTGCTTTGGCCTTCCTGATTATACCCCTGCATGCTTGAGCAATATTTTTTACTCCTCCCTAGTCATCTCTCCAAGTTTCCACTTCTTGTGAGCTTTCTTTTTGTGTTTAAGCTCACCGAAGATTTCACTGTTAAGCCAAGCTGGTTGTCTGCCATATTTGCTATTCTTTCTGCACATCAGGATGGTTTGTTCCTGCACCCTCAATAAAGCTTCTTTAAAATAAAGACAGCTTTCCCGGACTCCTTTCCCCCCTCATATTAGCCTTCCAGGGGATCCTGCCCATCAGTTCCTTGAGGGAGTCAGTCTGCTTTTCTGAAGTCCAGGGTCTATATTCTGCTGCTCTCCTTTCTTTTGTCAGGAGCCTGAACTCGACCATCTCGTGGTCACTGCTGCCCAGGTTGCCACCCACTTCTACTTCCCCTACCAATTCTTCCCTGTTTGTGAGCAGCAGGTCAAGAGGAGCAGAGCCCCTAGTTGGTTCCTCCAGCACTTGCACCAGGAAGTTTTCCCCAACGGTCTCCAATAACTTCCTGGATTGTCTGTGTATTGCTCTCCCAGCAGATGTCAGGGTGATTGAAGTCCCCCATGAGAACCAGGGCCTGTGATCTGGAAACTTCTGTTAGTTGTCCAAAGAAAGCCTCATCTACCTCATCCTCTTGGTCTGGTGGTCTATAGCAGATGCCCACCACAACATCACTCTTGTTGCTCTCACCTCTAAACTTAACCCAAAGACTCTCAACAGGCTTTTCTCCAGTTTCATGCTGGAGCTCTGAGCAGTTATACTACTCTCTTACATACAGTACAACTCCTCCAATTTTTCTCCCCTGCATGTCCTTTCTGAACAGTTTATACCATCCATGACAGTACTCCACTCATGTGAGTTACCCCACCAAGTCTCTGTTATTCCAGTCACATCATAGTTCCTTGACTGTGCCAGGACTTCAATTCTTCCTGCTTGTTTCCCAGGCTTCTTGTGTTCGTGTGAAGGCACCTAAGATAACTAGCCGATTGTCCTTCTTTCTCAGTACGATTCAGGAGGCCTCCCCTGTTGCACCCTCCTCCTTGTGTCTCCTCCAGGTATCCCACTTACCTCAGGGCTTAGGTCTCCATCTCGCGGTGAACCTAGTTTAAAGCCCTCCTCACTAGATTAGCCAGCCTGCCTGCGAAGATGCTCTTCCCTCTCTTCATTAGGTGGATTCCATCTCCTCCTAGCGATCTTTGTTCCTGGAACAACATCCCATTGTCAGAGATCCAAAGCCCTCTCTCCGACACCACCTGCATAACCATGCATTTACTTCCACAATTCGATGGTCCCTACTTGGGCCTTTTCCTTCAACAGGGAGGATGGACGAGAACATGACTTGCACCTCAAACTCCTTTATCCTTCTTCCCAGAGCCATGTAGTCTGAAGTGACCCGCTTAAGGTCATTCTTGGCAGTATCACTGGTGCCCATGTGTAGAAGTAGGAAGATGAAGAGCCAGAGCCATGCAACACGTCATGCAGATTTTTTTTCCATCTTATCCACCTGTTGCCTTCCATCTGATAGTTGTCTGGGACAAGGGACTGCCTTTGTTAGTTATCTGTGCAGTGTCTAGCACTGATCCGTGATCCTAGATGCTACTGCAATACAAATTAATAATACTAATGATTTAGGCCATGTGAATTTTGGCTGTGCAAACCGTGCTCCATGTGCTTGCAAGCAATTATTCTACAGTGCCTAGATACTGATATGTGAGGGTTCAGATTGGGGGAAAATAAACACTAGTACTCTCCTAAGCCCCACTCTCTGTTGACACGAAAATGACAAGTCACCCTTAGCAGACTCTGCTGGAATTCAATGGTCTCTCTCCTTCCAATCTTTGATCCATGAAATAGTTAGCAGTTCTGACTTTTAAATTGTCATCATTGGGCTTCAGAGTCAACACCCCATTGGTCTGAAAAGGAGTGGTTCAAACTGCTGTGTAGACAGCACTGCATTAGTTCCTGGATTCACAATTCAGGTTGCAACCATGAAGGCTAAAGACTTAACCTCAACTTTCATTTAAAAGAATTAAAATGGTAGTCACTGGGGGAAAGTGCAATCTTGAACTGAGATGGCAAATGGGTGAATATTTGCTGTGTTCATGCTAAAGGAGGCAGACCATGCTGGACAATGTCCATTCCCAGTATGGTTTAGGAACCGAGCTGGTCAACATTTGAGATTTCTGGTTCATGAGAAATTTTGATGTTTCAGAATTTGAGTACCACTATTCATTTTTTTCCAGTGAAAATTTCTGACCAGCTCTATTCCGAAATAGTTTCGCCCAAGGCACAAACACTTCACTCTGCTTTAGTGTGTCATTAACACTATGATTTATCTGTCCAAGAGCCCCAGGGTTTCCATTACTATCCATTATCTGAGCCCCCCACAATCTTTAATGAATGTATCCACACAACACACCAGTGAGGTAGGAAAATGCTGTTATCTCCAATATGTAGATGGGAACTGAGGTACAGAGAAATTAAGTGACTTGCCCAGGGTCACACAGGGAGTCTGGGATACAGCAAGGAACTGAATGGAGGTCTCCCAAGTCCCAGGCTGAATGGAGGTCTCCCAAGTCCCAGGCTCCCTGGTCACCGAGCCATCCTTCATGTCAGTTGTTTTAATCTGATGGCACCCTTGGGAATCCTAAAGTTGATGCCCGAGTAGCAAGTGTCTGTGTTTTGAAAGTATTCCCCAAAACTCCAACCTGCTTGTCTGGCTTCTATTTTAGATGAGTTCAATCGAGTGATCATTCCAGTGAAGAGAGGTGAAGAGAACACAGACTATGTCAATGCGTCCTTTATTGATGTAAGTTCTTGTTTCCTGTTACTCTAACCATAGACTCCACAACCTGCAGCCAATAACCCTCCACCTCAAACACAGCCAGGATGGGCCTAGTCTTGAAATGCTTGCTTTTTAGTGTGTTGGGGGTTTTTTATTGTATTTAGAGCTGATGGAAGGTGCTAGGCTGACTGGGGACTGGAGTCCCCTGTTTATCCTGATAACTTGTACAGCTCTGGCAGAAGCAGCGTGAGCTTCCATCCTGCCCCACCATGACCTGAAGAGACGCATCTCAGGGTGATTTCAGCCCCGTTAGGGTCCTCCACTGAGCCCCCCAACGAGTTTGATAGTGACTCTAATGATGTGGATAACGGTCTGCTAGGCATAGAACAGGGACTACCAGCTCCTTTCATTTGGCCACTGAACATCCACCAGACAATGCAATGTAATAATAATACACGGCTCTCAAAGCCCTTGACAAAGGCAGATCAACCTCATTGTCCTCAGACTGGAGTAAATGAGGCAAAGAGGTTAAGTGATCTACTCACCAAGGGCTAGATCGCACAGTCCTTGCTGACAGGTAGTCCTGTTGGTGTCAACGGGAAGCCTCTCATTAGTATTCATCTACACGCAATCCACCCAACAGTGAGTAAGTGCTATAGGACCCAGGTCTTTTGAAACCCAATCCTGCCTCTAACCCCAGGATGACAGTTGCTCCCGAAGGCAAGTCATTTTTGATGATGATTGTCCTGGGCTAGATTCGAACCCGTCATTGAGAGGGGAAAGGCACTGTTATCACATTCATAATGCCCTGAGCTATCTATCCCCCTGCAGTGTAATTTTCTAATGAGTATCATCCATAACGGGTGAGTCCCGCTATGCTGATCTGTCATTACATTCTGACTCTGTTTCAAACAGAGCGCAGTATAAGCAGCCCTCCTGGCATCCAAGCCCTGTTTGTTTGTCATGAATCTAGGTCAGAAAGCCCTTGATGCGGTGTAGGCAGCTTTGTTGAGAATTCAATTTCCTGCCTCTACTGAACTTTGCTTGACTGAGACGCTCCACATGACTAAGCATCTTTGTGTTCTCACTGCAAACTCTGATGAAAAAGAACAACAGAAACTTTGTCAGAAGGAGGAATGTTTCTTGGTTGTGGAACAGCAGTTGTCACCTTGTAATGGAGATTGCAGTGTAGGCCTGGTTTTGCTCCTCTCTGCTTAAAATTCACAGTAAAAGCTACATCGTTAAAACTGGTAGGTTAGGTCTGGGTCCAGGGTAAAATTTTTCTACAAAATTTGAACTGACTCAAACAAGGGGTTCCTGAATTATGACATCCTAAAAGCGGGTGTTCTCCATGGTCCAAAGAGGCTTCTGATGTTTTGGTCATTTCGTGGTGGTGGTTTTTTGCCTCTCTGTAGCCAAAACAAAAACTGCAAAGAGGAGAAAAACTCTTAGTTTGTTTGGCAGCCCTGGCAGTGAGCCAGTGCCCAGGACCAATATTTAGCTGACTAAAGCGTAATTTCCAAAGACCTCAACTTTTTAATTTGGACCATCACTGTGGATTGTTGGCTGTGCTTACCCAAGCACAGCCTCGCTGGAGACATGAGCTTTCCTCTACAGAAGCAGTAAGGTCTGGTCCTGATTTAACTATGTTACGTTAGACACTGAGTTAGTTACTTTGGTGTCATCCCCTTGTGTGGACACTTTTAAACTAGAATCTGAGTGTTCACACAAGTGACCAGCAGCTGTTTACTACATCAGTTTCTAAAGCAGTATAGTTAAATCTGAACCATTTTCTTTTGTAGACAAGACCTAAGTCTGTAGCCCCTTACTGTGCAGAGACAGAGCTCAGATTTGATGTCACTGCATCACCGTGAAGGCTTCTTACTAGAATAAAGACACATTTCTACCAAAAGCCTCATCAGCCCCCAGACAAGCTTGCTAAGGACTGGCAGACCTACCAAGGCTTCTAGGGACTTTGAGTGTCCCCAGTTAGCCCCCTGAGGCTGGGTGGGGTTCTCTTTCATGCAGACCTGGGTAGGTCCACAGGAAGAGGATGCCAATTTGATTCCTCCAGGTCCCCTGTGCAATCCATTCCACATCCGCCTGCAGCCTTCCTAAGGTCTGCAGGAGCCAGGCTATGTTCCTACCACTGTTGGGACTGAGCGACTCAGGACCACAGACCCTGCCCCGCATTCCTGTCGACCTCTATATGCCTCAGTCTTCCCCCCACCTGCAAAATGAGGACAGGAACACCCGCCTCACAATGAGGCTGGGAGGCTTAGTGAGGGTTTGTCAGGCAGTTTGAGATCCACGGGTGGAAGGTACATGAGAAATAGGACCATTGTGTGGTACAGAAAGCTGGAAACCCGATCTCTGGCTCTTCGTACCGTGGGTTACAGCTCTCATGAGCAACATGGGCTACTTACAATGCGTGGCAAAGACCCAAAAGGAGACGCGCTGCCCAACACGAGAGAGGCACATGCTTGAGATGCTGTAAGGCTCTTTACGTAACATGTACACGACTCTTGATCATCTGTTTCCTTTGTGTTATCACTAATTTACTGGACCACCCTATGTGGGGCAGAGTGATTGAATCGCTAAGCTCAATGATGTGCCTGTGATGAGTCATAGCTGAAAAGTGGGCCTGGGAAGGCGGGATGCATTGGAATTAAAGCTACTTTGGGGTCAGAATCAATGCTAAAAAACAAGGTTCCCCAGGAAGGGAAAATGTTTTGACTATGTCTAAGTAATGGCCTGTAGTGTGAGTCCTCACCATGGAGCATGACTGAGGTAGATTATGAGGCATAACAGAGCTGATAGAGCAGAGATGAGTGATGGCAGAGCCTTGGCAGAGCAAGAGCTGTTGCCATCTTGACTTTTTACGTTTGGATAATGGGATGAAAGGGCAGCCTCCAAATACGTCAAGGGTGTAGGTGCCAGAAGGGGAAAGCAGTTACTTATGTGATATACTGGGGATAAGCCGGAGTGATGGGTTTACGTCATAATAGGGGAGATTGGAATGTGATGTATTGCCCTGTGGAACAGTCTCCCTGTGGTGGAAGCCTCATCACCTGGGACATTTAAAACAGATCTGCACCCCCTGTCTGACCCTGTACTGGCAGGGAGGGTATAAAGGGCCATTTCTATCTGCCGTGAAAAAGATAAAAAACCATGTGCTACACAGCAGAAGATCTACACCAAGTAATTTGTACAAGAAGTTGTTCAAGCGTCCAACTTCTGAATGAAAAGGAAACGGGATCATAGAAGTTAGAGATGAAAAAGGTTTGTTGCAGCACTGATCCCCTTCCCTGCCTGTGCAGAAGACAGCCAAGTTCACAAGCCTTGGGCAAACAAGGACCAAGTTTTTCAACTGCCACCAGGAAGGGATTTCAGGTTCTGGTTGGTGTGGGGAGAGAATGGGCGAGACTGAGCTTTGGTGCGGTTTCCTCCTGAAACCAAACACATTGGTTTCATATGAGCTGTGCTTTGGAGCCTGTGATCCACCCACAGAACTCTCCCAGTGAGTTCCCACCCAGTTCCCCACATTGGTGCCCACTGTCACCAACCCTTCACACTTCTTGTCCATATGCTCTGCACCATCTGATAGTAATCTCTTTGTGGGTGAACTTTTCAAAGTGGCTGTGAGGGAGTTCATTGCAGCATAGCTCTGTGTCAGGTAAAACAGCTGTTGCTGCAGATGCTGATGGCACTGGGGTGATTTCCAGTCTGCATCAGTTCTGCCGCCCCAACAACTATGGCTTGAAATTGCAGGGTTATCGCCAGAAGGACTCCTACATTGCTAGCCAGGGCCCTCTCCAGCACACAATAGAGGATTTCTGGAGGATGATCTGGGAGTGGAAATCCTGCTCTATAGTTATGTTAACAGAGCTGGAAGAGAGAGGCCAGGTAAGTGCCTGGGATTAACTAATCCTGCAGCTGGTGGGAAAGCAACATCATTATGACTACATCACTGGTGGGAAAAATCAATGCAAGGCCCTACAGCCCTTTGACGGCCCTATTACTTGTTCCCAACACATCCCAAATTATGTAACTATTTAACTCGCACGCACCCAACCTTCTCTGGAGAACCTCGTGCTGCAGCCCAACTTCCAGTTTTACCCCCAAAGAATCCACGTGCTTATAGACACAGTATAAATTTCAGACGTGAGGAGACGGGACAAGGACCCAAGACATTGCGCTCCCAAAACACTTCTTGAGCTAAATGGCCACTCACTAGTTACTGTCTGTGTGCTGGCCAATGGAGAGCAACATCACTCATGCACAAAGCTAGAGAGCAGCATCCTAATTCCCCTCTAAACCTCTGAGTACCGTGGCTGGCCTACCGAGGCCGCCTCGTAACAGACCCCTCAGGCCAGGATGGGGAGGAGGGGATTTCACACTGCCACATGAAGGTTTCTCACCTCGTCACCTCATGCTTTCTCAGGAGAAATGTGCCCAGTACTGGCCTTCTGATGGCTCTGTGTCCTATGGAGACATCACCATGGAGCTGAAAAAAGAGGAGGAATGTGAGAGCTACACAGTGCGGGACCTGCTAGTAACAAACACCAGGGTAGGAGTCTCTCTCCCTCACCATGGAAGGCAGCTGTGGGATCTCTGGGCACTTGCTGTAGTTAACCCCTGGTTCTGTCTATAGGTGCCCTGTTTCCCCTTGCTCCTGCAGCCCTGTCCCAAATGCTGATTCTCCCCCTTTCCCCTGGCCCCTCCTCAGCTTCCATATCCTTTCACAATCGCCCCAAAATGACACCTCCACTGTCAGTTCCCTCCCTCTTCACCCCACTCCCTGCATACTGCTGTCCTATCCCCTTCCCCGTTGTTAACCCTCCTCTCCCACTGACTTCTGGTCATGCCTCCCCCACTGCGGGGTTCCCTTCCCCCACCAGAAACTGTTATCCACTCCCTGCCCCCCACCTCCCTGCTGCCATCCAGCCCATACTCTTTCCTCTGCTGGCTCCCTTCTGGGCCACCCAAACCCTCCCTGGTTTCCAGTTCCCAACTTTGTCCCCCAGGGCACCCCCCACCAACCGACTCCCTGGCACACTGCCACTGGTCCTATTAGGCATCGGCTGCCACTGCCCTTCTGATCATTCTCTTCTAACCTTTCTTCCCAAGCCCTTGCAACAGTCTGTTTCCAGCTATGCACCTGGACTTAGGTTGGTCCAGTGGAGTGAAGTTGTCATTGTTTTTCTCCTGCAAGGAAAACAAGAGCCGGCAGATTCGACAGTTCCATTTCCATGGCTGGCCGGAAGTTGGAATCCCTAGTGATGGGAAAGGAATGATCAATATCATTGCAGCTGTGCAGAAACAACAGCAGCAGTCTGGGAACCATCCAATCACTGTGCACTGCAGGTACAGCCCCGTCAGGGCAAGGGACTGGACACAGCATTGCTCTGGTCTTGGGTAACTGTGATAGATCTGCAAGCCAGTGAAAGGGACTGGGCTGGTGACCAGCGTCCTCAGCCCACTGATCAGGAGCAGCACAGACAGCTGTGGTGCCAGGTTCCCTCGCGCTGCCCCAGCCAATGTGCCTCAACCTGGAGCTGGAAGGGTCCGGGAATAATTCTGTCACCAGGCCCTACTCAGTCCTTGGCGTCTCTTCCTCCTATATCAGGGACAATTGAGTTTGTGGGGGGTTTTGATGTGGAGAAATTGGGAACTGGTCTGAGACCACTCAGCTCATGTCATAGGATGTCCAAACCTTCTTCACCATCTGACTAGCTGTTTGACCTCCTAATTCTGGCCAGACATGAGCTGGTGCCCAAAAGAGGAGGGAACAATGGATAGTTAGTCCGATGGGATGCTTCACATGAAAACAATTGTCTATAAATGGTGGTTAAACTAGAAAGCACAAAGGAGACTGTTCAAGATGTTCACGTTCCCCAGCATTTCCCTCCCACTGCCTGAGTTGGAGCATCCATGCAGCCAAATGAATGTGCTCTGTCCTGATGTTCACTTTTTCTGTGCTCTTCTGTTTGTCTCTTTGCCAGTGCCGGGGCAGGAAGAACAGGAACCTTCTGTGCACTGAGCACTGTCCTGGAAAGGGTTAAAGCCGAGGGGATTCTGGATGTCTTTCAGACAGTGAAGAGTTTAAGATTACAGAGGCCGCATATGGTGCAGACACTGGTAGGCACGAGTTATTGCGTCTTCACTACCTAGCTCCCTTCATGCCTTAACAGATCTCAGTTGAGATGTGCCTGCAAATTTTCCTTCCTCTCAACCAAGTTTTTTGAGTGGAAATTTCCCTAGTTAAAATAGTCCTAATGGTGGGGAGAAGGAGGATTCTCTCCCCTACCCCCTTCCTCCTAACAACCGGAGTTCTACAGGAAGGGAGAACTGTGCTAGGAATAAGGAGACCTGATTCTGTTCCAGACACTACCACTGACTTTCTTTTTCACCACGGGAAGTTACTTACAGACAGAAGTGCCAAACATCCGTAGCTTCTGCCGAGCTACAGATGCCCAGCACCTTTGAAAAGCAGGCCACTAGCCTCTGCATGACTCAGTTTTGCCCATCTGTACGATGGGAATAATGGTGCTTCACCCTTCTCTTGTAACGTACTCTGAGATATGCGGTTGAAATTGTTTTGATACAAGACTGGAAGGACCACTATGATTATCTAGCCTGACCCCTTCATAACACAGGCCATAAGTGCAAAGTACCTTTCCTCATCTAATGCTGTGCTTTTCCTCTCCCAAACATCACAGGAACAGTACGAATTCTGCTACAAGGTGGTGCAGGAATACATTGACGCCTTCTCAGACTACGCCAACTTCAAGTGAAAAAACAAAAAGAAACAAATGACAGAAGAGTTGCCTTCTTTAATATTTTGTAATATTCTGTTTGTTAATATACCCCCCAAAATATGTGTATATATCTTAACTGTTTTAGAGATTGGTACCATAGGCTTCATATTAGCTGGAGATTTTATATGTAGCAAAAGTGTTAGCGCGGATACTGTTGGCTCCTTTTTTTCCAATGTTTTATTGGGGAATTAAATAGCGTGATGTTTGGATTAATATTGTCAATCCATCTCTCTGCTGGAGAGTTGATATAGGCTGTTGTTTTGTTTGTAAATCTTTTTCTTTTTCCCTGAGGGAGTAAAGCCTTTTTAAAAATAATAGTATTCCGGATCTCATCTAAAAGCACAAGCTTTTCCGAACCTGTGGGGAAATGGTTTCACATTTTCCTGCTGTTCTGCTCTTGAAAGAAAGAAAGAGAAAGAAAAAAGCTTATTCTGTATATATCCTAGTTTTTGTATAAAAAGAGAAAAAGCAAAAGTTTCTTTCTCCGGGACTAAATAACTCTGCGTCACCAACTGAAAATGGTAATGGACTTGTAAGTGGCAGCAACAGTTGGGATTTCAACCAGGAAAAAAAAAGGATTTTTGCTCCCTAAAGGAAACTTCCCTGTATGTGTGCCAGATTTCAGATTGGTTTTATCTGCCTCTCAGTCACAGCCTTGTCTGGCAGTTATTGGCAGGCAGCACGGTAGGTCGTTTAGATGTCTAGCTGAACTGCAGGTGCAGTCACATACGTGGATGGCCTTACCTGCTCCTGCAATTAACAAAGGCCATTGAAATCCTCTGGCTCTCTGTCTGTCCATCTGTGTTCATCAGTGAACAGTAGCAGCTTTGTTGTTGTTAGTATTAAGATTCATTCTCATTCTCTCTCTCTCTCTCGGCAAAGCCAAATGTTTCACTCTAGCCTTGTGTACTCTGGGAGTTTCAGCCATTGGTGTCCAGCAAGTGGTGTAGCTTCACCAGCACAAATGCTTAATGTAGACAGGCAAAGCCTCTAAAAGTCACTGTTTGTACCTCTGCCTGAAACTGGGGTTAAGCTACACTTGTGCAAATCATGGCTTCTTGCAGCTTTGCCTGTCTACGTGGGGAGTGTGCACTGGCACAGCTCCACCAATGGCTGCAGCTGGGGCAAATCCCCAGTGTAGACAAGGGCTTGGACTGTGTTCTGCCATGAGAGCCGTGTTTACTTCATGCTTGTCTTACAATTGCCAAGAGTGTTTGTTGGCCCATGTCAGTTATGGGTTGCCCGATCCTGTTTCCTTTATGCCTGGAGGCAGGAGTGCCATGTGCCTGCTGGCTGTCAACATATCAGAGCCTCCATGGCCAAGAAATGTGTTTAATTTTACTCCTTTCCATTTCTGTGGTCAGAAGGACTGAGGGAAAGAGAGTGAGGAGGGGCCTTCCTTTCAGTAGATCTCTTCTAGGTGCTGGTGCCATGGTTTGGAGAGAGGATGTGGGACCATAACAATCCAAACTTCAGCCAGCCATTGATTGTCCCTCAGACATCAAGTGTGATCAGCTCCCCGATGCATCTTTTCCTTCCCTCCACACCCTATGAATGATCCTTTAGCAGCTCCTGAGCTAGACTTTCCTCTCCTACCATAACTACAATGAAAGCCAAGGATTTACACACAAGTCATACTGGTGGGAATAAGGTCAGAATCAGGCCTGGTGGGGGGTTCTGCCAAGGATACTATCGGTCCACAGGCCCAATTCTGTATTTCCTTAGCACTGAAGTGAAAATTAAAATAGAGGAGTTGATCCTTGCAGCATTCCGGGAGGCAGCACTACTAATAAAAGTCACCAGGAGAAGGTCTCTAGTATCATCCCTAAATAAAGATCCTGTTTGCCTGAGTTAATTGTGGAAGACCAGATGTCTTCTCAGCCCTCCTGTGGGGGAGTTCACACACTCACTCTGTGTAAATCCTCTCCATCCCAGGTTAGTTGTGCAAGGGAAAAATATCAGAAATTCAGGTTCTTCTAGAGGAGGGTTCTTTTGTTTGGGGGAGGGGTTGTATTTTTAATTTCTACACTGAATGTGATACTGTTGAAAGTGCCAACAGGCTTGGGGATCCATCCCCCCTCCCCCCCCCCCCCCCACCACACAATACCCCACCAGTTTGCCTCAGTCCTTGCCTGAAGGGATCATTTCTGAGAGTAAGAGGAGATTTCAGTCTCCAGGCCTTGTTCACATTGGTCTCTCTACAGAGACAGCCTGCAAAGGCCTCAATTTTGCACTCTGATCCACGCAGTTGAACCCTTATGCCCATGCAGAGTCCTGTGGATGTCGTAGGGCTCTGCGTGGCCCTGACCCAGGACAGCATGTAAGCCGGCACACACTGTCCCAAATGGGGATGCTTTCCTGAGTCAGGGCCCGTACGTACACAGGCCTGCCTGCAGGATCAGGGGCTAAAAGCTCCAGTTGGTGCCAAGAATGGTGACATGGATACCTGTCCTCTAGGAGCTAGTCTGAAACCAAGAAGACTTCTTGGGTTTTGATGGAAAGGAGGCACCAAGAATGTATCACACTTCACAGATAGTAATAAAATAAATAGATCCATAATGTTTAAGGCCAGAAGGGAACAGGCCATAGAATTTCACCCAGTGATTTTGGCATCAAGCGCACAGTAACTTGTAGCTAAGCTAGAGCAGATCTTAAAGAAAGACATCCAATCTCGAGCTAGACTTCAAGTGATAGACCCCACATCCCAGCCAGAGCAGAGATGATGGCTAAAGCAAGGAGCCTATTCTCCTTAATGGCAACACTCACTTTTAACTGAAAACCATGGAAAGTATTTCCCCTTTAAGGCTTGTTCTGCCCAGGCCGAGCCCTCCCACAGCCACATGACATTATTTGCAGTTTTATGTAGCCTCAATCCTATACATTTACATGTCTGAGTAATTTTATTCAAATGAGTAAAGTTACTCCTACACTTAAATATTTGCAGGACCATGTGATGGTCTCCGAAAAGTTTTCAATTAACCTTCCTTTGAATATGAAATTTTATCCTGGATTTTGTGGCTTTTATTGTAGAAAAATCTTAAAACTTTTAAGACATCTTAAAATTTTTCTGCCCTTTTTAAAAGGAAGGGTGCAGGTAGCTTTTCTTTCCTCTTTCTAAATATGGTGTTGGTTTGGCTTAATCGTTCGTTCTTTCTAGAAGAGAGTTCTGACGTGTATCGGTCTTTAAATACTAGATAGACCTTTTCTCTGTGTGTCTGAAGACGACTTTTTTTAATGAATCCTGTTTTTGAGCTCAAAGATTGTAGTTGATGAGAGAAGAAGGCAGTTGAACTGTTCTTAAAGGAAGAGGCAGGGTAATGTCTGACCTATTCTAATTTACAATGGAAGTTGAATTACAACTGGATTTCAGGGGTCTAAAATACAGGAAGTAGAGTGAACAATCAGAGCCCACGCTCTGTAGTCCGATTGAATAGGGCTGAGACAAAGCCATTTGAATGCATGACTAAACGGAAGACTTTCCCAGCTACTGAATTAACCAAGAGAATGCATCTTCCCTATGCATTCAAGTGCCAAGCCAATCCTCTGGGTCCTCAACTACAGCCGGGAAAGAATCAATGCGACAGCAGCCTTGCTTGAGAGACACTAGCACCATTCACACTTGTTATTTCGAAGGTACTTTTGCTATTCACAGTTTTATTTTAAGGCTTCACAATGAGATCTTTACTAACAAATACCAGTGATAGATTCTTAACGGGCTATGGTGTGGACTCCCTTGGGATTTGAATACCCATGTACCTGCTGGGGGGGCCAGTCTAGCTAATCCGGTTATGTTCCTGTAGCGAGCTCCTTGTATCGTGCCTGCCTCTAGTCTAGTCTATGTAGATCCTTATACTGCCCTCTTCACCGTAGTATCAGAGCACATGCCAGTCGCTCATTAAGCAATGTGACTAACATCTGCCACATGAGCTTTGTTCCTTTCTCTGTCCTCTCCAGAATCTAGCAATGCCAGTTCAGCGCATGGTTTTATTTCAGCTGGGATATTGCCTGTAAAAAAGGAGCTTGGTTCCCCCCAATAAGGAGCCTGCTTTCCACCACCTCCCATCAATGGGCAAGTCACCTTGGAGTTGTAGACAAAGAAATGGAGCCTCATTCAGCAAGGCTGACGTTTGGGTTTTACTTTGTACTGGACCCAGGTGCCCTCTGCTTCAAGAGCTGAGGAAGTCCTGTCCTGGAATGTAAGCACATATTGTCTCCTTTACCTTGGTGAGTAGAGGGGCCAGTAGGATCCCTGTCTAGGGGCCAGGCATGGTGCCTCTACACCATCAAACTGCTCTCTGCCTGCACCCTGAGGAAGCCCTCCCAATAGCTTGGTGACCTTCACTAAGGGAGGAGAGAGCCCACCACCGGCAGTGAGTGCTGGCTCAGCACTGCATGTTACAGCACATTCCTACATGCTGTGGAACCCCACCACCGTCAGCACCTAAGAGGAACAGTTCCTGTCAGCATGGCTTTGTTGGAGCTGTACTACACGGGGCCCCAGAGCCAGGAAGAGGCACTAGTCTTCCAGCAGGTCCCCCAAGATCTGTAAGGCTCAGGGGCTGAATCCCTTGCTTCTCTCATCAAGGGAGATCTTTCCTCTGATGGAAGAACAGGAAGGAAACTCCACAAGAGGATTGAGAACTTTACATTTTAGAAAATAATGGCCATACTGGGTCAGACCAAAGGTCCATCTAGCCCAGTATCCTGTCTTCTGACAGTGGCCAATGCCAGGTACCCCACAGAGAATGAATAGAACAGGCAATCATGAAGTGATCCATCCCCTGTCGCCCATTCCCAGCTTCTGGCAAACAGGCTAGGGACACCATCACTGCCCATCCTGGCAGCCATTGATGGACCTATCCTCCATGAATATATCTAGTTCTTTTTTGAACCCTGTTATAGTCTTGGCCTTCACAACATCCTCTAGCAAGGAGTTCCACAGGTTGACTGTGTGTTGTGTGAAAAAATACTTCCTTTTGTTTGTTTTAAATCTGCTGCCTAGTAATTTCATTGGGTGACCCCCAGTTCTTGTGTTATGAGAAGGAGTAAACAACAGTTCCTTATTTACTTTCTCCACACCAGTCATGATTTTATAAACCTCTATCATATCTCCCCTTAGTTGTCTCTTTTCCAAGCTGAAAAGTCCCGGTCTTATTAATCTCTCCTCATACGGCAGCTGTTCCATACCCCTAATCATTTTTGTTGTCCTTTTCTGAACCTTTTCTAAGTCCAATATATCTTTTTTGAGATGGGGCGACCACATCTGCACGCAGTATTCAAGATGTGGGCGTACCATGGGTTTTTATAGAGGCAAT